GTTCTCCCCTGGAATGTCTGTTTCATTGACTGTCGTTTGTCCCCAGTGTTCAGCCCAATGACATTGTATATGACAGGCGATCAATAAATATTTAGGGATTCTTTTTTTTTTTACATAAAGGGGATCTTACTTATTTTTACCTTTTACTATTCTATAATCTGATTTTATTTTTTTAAAGAGTTTATTTATTTGAGAGAGAGAGAGAGAGAGAGAGAGAGCACAAGCAGGGGGAGGGGCAGAGGGAGAGGGAGAAGCAGGCTCCCCACTGAACAGGGAGCCCGATAGGGGGCTGGATCCCAGGACCCTGGGACCATGACCTGAGCCGAAGGCAGACGCTTAACCGACTGAGCCACCCAGGCGCTCCTGTAATCTCATTAAAACAAAACAAAACAAAACAATAGGGGTGCCTGGCTGGCTCAGTCCATAGAACATGCGACTGGATCTTGGGGTTGTGAGTTCCAGCCCCACTTTGAGGGGGTAGGTTGTACTTATTTAAAAAAAAAAACAAAACTTAAAAAATCTTAAAAAGAAACAATTTATCCTGGACACCTTTCTGTACCAAAATAGAAAGCTCTAGCTCCTTTTTAATGACTACCTAGCATTCGGTTGCCTAGAGATACCATCACTTATTTAGTCTCTGATGGTGTCCATTTAGGCTGTAGTCAGTTTTGCAATTAGCACGTATTTTTCACAGACTTGTTTTATTATTTCCTTGGGATAAGTTTCTAGACTGCGTGGAAAAGAATGCATATAGATTTTTGAAATGTGAGTTTAAGATCTAAGACCTAGTCCAATCCCTTTTTGACAATGAAAAGAGATTACACAGCTAAGCTATTTAAACTGAGTCTTGACTCCAGGTCTTCTAACTCTTACACAACTTTATTGTTTTATCTTTCCTACATAGAATTGCAATCCCCTTGGAGCTGATCCTGTATGGTGTGAGGTAGGAGTCAAATTTCAGGCTATAATTAACATTTTACTATGTGGTATGGGGTGCAGCTAAATGTTATAAAATGCAGAGAACAGCTCCCCATCCTAAAGAATTTCTCCATTGTTTTCCTCTAGAAGTTTTAGAGTTTTTGTTCTTACTTTTAGGTCCATGGTCCATTTCGAGTTAATTATTATATGTAATGTGAAGTGAAAGTCAAGGTTCATTTTTTTTAGCATGTGAATATCCGATTAATATAGTACCTTTTCTTGAAAAGGCTATACTTTCCCCATTGAATTTCCTTGTCACCTTTATTGAAAATTGACTATGTATGTGAGAATCTATTTCTGGGTTCTCTATTCTGTTCCATTAATCTTTATGTCTGTCTTTACACCAATGTGACACTCTTGATTACTTAGGTTTATAATAGTTGTACAATTGTATAATAATTGTTAAAATTAGGTAATGTAAATTTGTTCATTTTTCCCAAAATTCTCTTGGCTATTCTAGATCCTTTGCATTTCCGTTTAAACTTGAGATCTGCTAGCCAATTCTGGTGTTTGATTGGGATTGCATTGAATCTATCATTTAATTCAGACACTGGGGAGACTATCTTAGACTGATGCTATAAAAAGCTGGAATCGGGGGCTCTTGGGTGACTCAGTCGGTTGAGTGGCTGACTCTTGGTTTCAGCTCACGTCATGATCTCAAGGTCCTGGTATCGAGCCCAGCGACAGGTTCTGTGCTCAGCGTGGAGTCAGCTTGGGATTCTCACTCTCCCTCTGCCTCTTCTCTCTCTCTCAAATAAATAAAATTCTTAAAAAAATTTTTTAAAAAAGCTGGAACCGGGCGCCTGGGTGGCTCAGTTGGTTAAGCGACTGCCTTCGGCTCAGGTCATGATCCTGGAGTCCCGGGATCGAGTCCCGCATCGGGCTCCCTGCTCGGCGGGGAGTCTGTTTCTCCCTCTAACCCTACCCCTTCTTGCGCTCTCTCTCTATCTCATTCTCTCTTCAAATAAATAAATAAAATCTTTAAAAAATAAAAAAAATAAAAAAAGCTGGAACCGTATATTATTAATCAATAACTCTCCTGATGCTGGGCTCATTAAACAACCAGATAGGTAGTTTGTATCCTGAGAGAGAATGCAGTGATTATAGGATGTGAATTGTTGGTCTTTCTGAAGATAATTTTCACTATAAAATAATATGCCAGCATTGTAGTTGTAGCATCATTTCTTTGTGAGCTTGATTAATGAGTTTGCCCAGAGCAATAGAGTCACTTCCCCATGCTCTGACAAATCAGGTTTCGCATTTGCAAAAATGAAATTGTATCCTGGGTTGTGGTGGTTTCTCTAATGTATTGCTGCCTTGGGGCAAGCATGCGTGTTCAGGTCACATCCCTCTGCCTCCTGGTAGCTATCTTTGAAGAATGAAGACTTCTAGCATTCATTGAGGACATCACATCATAAGCACTGTTCATTTGTTACAGTGCTGTGACTCCAGAGTCCTTGCTTTAATCACCATGCTATGATGCCTTTGATAAGTCATTTGGAAAGCAGGATTGGCTCTTTGCAGACTTGCCACTTCTAATACAATACTTTCAAGGTGCCCTGGGTTCAGTCAGTACATTGGCATTTCTCTGAGGCTTTGCAGTTTTTATATATGCTTTTATATATGATTCACTTAATTCTTTTTCATATATGAAATGTGCTCTCATGAATCATTTAATTCTATCTCTTCCTGCTCTGCCCCATCAAAATTCATTGCTTATAATTTTTTCCTGACCTCCTACTGGGCAGGGATAAGTAGTTTTGAAAAACGGAGGTAGAAGAGAGATGTAATCTCCATTTTCAACATAGGCAATTACTGGTGTCAATTTTTGCTAGAACTGGTTTAGAGAGACAGCCATGAACTTCTCTACTTGACATAGCGAAGAGAAGGTATCTAACCTTCCTCAAGGGCATTATGTATTGCTCCTAAAATTTAGTGCATCTGTAAATGTCTTCTGAATTAAACGGAGGAGAAGGAAGACTGTGGTGGTGGGATATATGTATAAGGAATCTTGCTAGCAGCCAGAAAGTGAGAAGAATTAAATTCTCAGTTAAATGTCTGAGGGGGAAAAAAGAGTCTGAGACTTAGAACTATGGAAATTAGGGCTTCAGTCCTAGGGGTGATGAAGATAGTAGCTGGGCTGTTGGTAGATTATCAGTGCTGGACAAGGTGTCTACGCCTTCTGCTCCTCAGGTGTATTCGTAGGTTCATTTGTTCATTCATTCATGTAAGTGCACAGTGAGCCTGCTACAATGCTGAGAGTTGTGGGGCCTTGCAAGGATGAACAGGTAAAAATGTAACATTTACAAACAGAAACATCATTCCTGTATATCCAGCCCATACTATACTTTCTGGTAGGTGTTTGATATGCCAGAGTATTTGTTGAAATTATTTGAGCCATAAGGATGGAACAGATAAAGCTCAAGCTTGAATGCAGAGATGGACGTTTCACAGGTGGAGAGAATAGCAAAGGACAAAAGCACAGTGGGAAGAAAACAGGCTTTGCATAGAAACAAAGTGACTTAGTGTGTCTGGCTGCAATGTGGAAAGCCACCAGCAATTAGGAGGAATATTTTTAAAAGGTATGTTGGGAATCACTGAGAGACCTATTAACCCGATTCCAGAGTGGTGTGTGTGTGTGTGTGTGTGTGTATTTTTTAATTTATTTATTTGAGGGGGGAGGAGGGGTAGAGGGAGAGGGAGACAGAGTCCCAACCCCACTCCACGCTGAGTGCAGAGCCTGACATGGGGCTCCATCCATCCCACAACCCCAGATCCCAAAGCCAAGAGTCCGAGGTTCAACCAACTGCACCCCCCAGAGAGAGAGAGAGAGTGTGTGTGTGTGTGTGTGTGTGTGTGTATATTTAAATATTTATTTGGGAGAGAGAGTACTTACTTGTGCAGGGGGAGGAGCAGAGGGAGAGAGAATCCCAAGCAGACAACCACCCCCTCTCTGGACCAGCGGGGAGCCCCACATGATCTCAGGGCTCCCAGATCAGGATGTGAGCCGAAATCAAAAGTCAGATGCTCAGTGGACTCAGCCACCCAGGCGCCCCTGCCTATATATTTTTGACCCACATCCAAATCATGCTGATAGAGATGTTAGTATTTCCCTTATATAGGGTAGGCCTAGTTACTGTGGAATGAGATGGGAGATGGAATGGTTAAGCGTGGAGGGGGGGAGGAGTGAGTGGAAAGGCTATTAGAGGAAAATTGAAGTAGTGGGGAATGAAGGGGGAATTGATCAAAACTGTCTTTATTCTTCAAAAGCAAGAATATACCCTGGTAGTGGGCGCCTGGGTGGCTCAGTTGGTTAAGCGACTGCCTTCAGCTCAGGTCATGATCCAGGATCGAGCCCCGCATCGGGCTCCCTGCTCCCTGCTTCTCCCTCTCCCACCCCTCCTGCTTGTGTTCCCTCTCTCGCTGTGTCTCTCTCTGTCAAATAAATAAATAAAATCTTAAAAAAAAAAAAAAAAGAATATACCCTGGTAGGATATTGAGAAGGCAGTATCATCATTTAACATTTTTCATTAATTAGAAAACTCGAATTTGTAATTTAACAAAGCAGTGAAAACAACCCTCTCCCTCCCTCCACGAAGAAACCTCCCTTCGCTACCCCACGTACACAACCGCGTCAGCATCACCTGGGAGCTGGTTAGAAACGGCGATTGCCAGACCCCAGACCAGAGCCATCGAAGCAGAAGGATGGTCAGGTGATTACATGCACGAGACAGCCCGAAAAGCCCCGCTCTAAGCTAGGGTACTTTAGAACCAGCGTTCTGCTGAAAAGAATTTCTAGCCGGAGCCGCGCTTCGCGGCCTCTTGCAGCAGATGGCAGTAGCCCTCTCGCTTCCTCCTAGCGGAAGGTTCCAGGCGGGGGCGAGCTCCGCGCGCCTCCGGAAGACCCCGGCCGGCTTGGGCCGGGGCGGGGGCGGGGAAGTGCTCCGGGGGGCGGGGCCTGGCCTGCCCAATGGGCTCTCCCGGGCGGGGGGCGGGGCGCTATTTCAGCCGCTCCCGGGGGCGCGCGCACGCCGCACGTCCCGGGCTCAGTATGTGGCGCGTGCCCCGCCAGCTGTGCGTGCACTTTGCGAGGGGAAGCCAGCTCTCGGGCCCTTGGAGTAGGCCTGCCGCCTTCATGTCCTCTCTGCTCATCAATCAGGCCCAGTACGCTTGGCTGAAGGAGCTCGGGCTCCGCGAGGAAAACGAGGGCGTGTATAATGGAAGCTGGGGAGGCCGGGGAGAGGTATGCGGGCGTGCGGGAAACCTGTGCGGCCTCCGTGCGGTCCCTGCCCAACCCGACCCCCGCCCCCCACCCGCGGCCGCTGTGCACGGTCGTCCTGGGTGGCAAGGGAAGCCACGTAGTAAACGTGTGCTTGTGTAGGGTGCCTTAAAAAACGCGTTTAGATTATTAGGTCTTTGTGTGCTATGGAGAAATCGGTGTCATTTTGGAGCTGGTAGGGCTTGAACTTCCCGCACACGCTTACAGCCTTACGGCGGAGTTCTCCGATGGGTAGTGAAGACGTGCCACACGCTTAGCGTTGGGAAATTATCTCAATTTTGTGCTTGACTCTGGCTCTTCTGATGTGACGTGTCCACAGGTGATGTTCTGCCTTAGTTGTATACTGTCTTTTCTGAAATCTTTCGTTGGAGTTTGCAAGCCCGGGCTTGCTGAAATCCTGTTAAAATTGTTGGGTGCTGAGCTTCCTCGAGGACAGGATTTTCAGCCTTTCTTTACTTCCAGAGCCACGCACCATGACTGGCACTCGGTGAAAGCTCAATTAAGTGTTTTACAGAATAGGATGGAAAGGTAAGGTGATTACCGCTCAGATTTTTGTGAAAGCTGCATACAAAAGAAAGCTTTTATGAGAAGATGTTACAGAAAAACACAAAAAGGAAATGTTACATAACATGCCACAAAGTTTGTCGAGTGTGATATAATGAGATTGCTTTGTTAGAGGAAACAGTCCTTTGGGTTATCTGTGACTGTAGGAGATGCAGGTGCTTTTAATTATTCTCTAAATCCCCTCTTCTGCTGGCACTTTGATCCTGTTTTTCCTGTGCCATGTCATTAGGTTCCTGGATACATTACTCTCTCCTGAAAATCTAGCTATGCCTTGATTTTTTTTTTTTTCTTTTTCTTTCTAATCTCTGCCGTTTGTGTGGGGATGGGCCTTTCCCATAGTTGTCCACTGTTGGCTCTTTCACCTTCTGACCAGGGCAGGGTAAGAGCCAGAAGAGTAAGTAAAACTCGTCAGTTTGGTCCGTTATTTGTGGAAAAAGAGGTGAAGTAACGGGTTACGTTAGACTACTGCTTTTACACCTAATGTTTAGATGGCAAGCTGCGTTTTGCAAAAAGTGGTTTTGAATGTTTAGGTCAAAAATGAAAGCGCTGTAAGTGACCTATTTGTAATAGAAGTTAATGTAAAGATTCCAAGTTTGGATATGGTCTCTAAGTTTAATTTCTTCCTCTGTTTTCCCATTTGGTCTGTTCACCCATTTTGGAAGGGATTTCATTTTCTATAGATAGCATTCATTTTTTTTTGTTTGTTTGAAGGTTGTCACGACCTATTGTCCTGCTAACAATGAACCGATAGCAAGAGTCCGACAGGTAAGTTTTTTGGTTTTGCTTTTTTTAATACAAACTGCCCATGGAGTTTGTGCCTGTGATGAAGAGCAGTATGGAGTCTCCCAGTCCAAGAATTAAGTGTTTCCTTTTCATAGGACATTTAAGAATATCTGGGAGAAACTGCTCACTCTTTGGGTTGGGGTGTTCTAGAAAAGGTGCAACAGAAAAGTCGTGGGGGGGGGGGTCCATTTAAGGCCATGTTTCTGAATCACCTGTTTTTGAGTGAAGGTTCTAACCTGTGAAGTCTGGGTTGGAGCCCATGGTGTTGTCCCCAGATGAGGCTGATGGACCTTGCTTCTAGGAGCAATGTTTTAAAAAGCACAGCTGGATTCTAAGCTGTTTTACTGGATTCTCACAAGTGTTTGGGAAGCATAGGCTGTGAAATTTGTCCTAAACTACAAATCTGAGGGTCACCTAGAGATACTCCAATTCTCCAAAAATCTTGGGTGTTCTCAGAAGGGGATCCTCACTGCCCTTTGTTTTTCCCTTTGTCTCCCCACTACTTGCTAATTTAGGCCAGTGTGGCTGACTATGAAGAAACGGTGAAGAAAGCGAGGGAGGCTTGGAAAGTCTGGGCAGAGGTGAGTGTGAAGGTCATGGCACGATGACCTCTGGTAACTGCAGGGAGAGAAGAGAAAAATCTAAAGAGCAGTCAGTGCTCTCCGCAGTAGGAGTTGCTGGGGGCTGTGATAATCTGCTGCTGCAGTAGTCCCAGGTATGCTTTTTCCACATTTGGCCTTCAGTAAAGGGTGATTTTAAGTGGATTGAAAGGCTGTCCTGAAGTAGCATACACCTCAGCTATGAACGCTATTTCCAAGTGGAGTTTCTTAAGTTCCTAATTGGACTGTCTATGCTGCAAACACCCTTTTGCTGCTTCTCCCCGCTCCTTCCAGCCAGCTTTATGCAGGGCTGGGGGCTGGGGGTGTGGGAGGGAGTATCTCTGCAGTTGGTTGATAGTCCTGGTTCAAAGGGCAGGGTGTTGAGTTCCTGCAGTCCGATCAGGCATGGGGAGCGGGTGGTGTGTCCCGTCCCCCGTCTGTCTCTGATGTAGGAAAGAACGTTAGGGTTCGAAGCCCACGGCCAAGAAAGAACTCGTGAGACGTCTCTGGTGCGAAAAGGTGGTTTTATTAAAGCACGGGGACAGGACCCGTGGGCAGAAAGAGCTGCACCGAGGTCATGAGGAGTAGCCCATTATATACTTTCAGGTTGGGAGGGGGTTTCGGATAGCGTTAAGTCTCGAAGGAATTTTGGAAGCAAGGTTTCCAGGACCTTGAGTGGGCTCCTATTGTTGGGAAAAGGTCATTTATTACCGTCTAATAAAACCTTAGTCATGAGACCCTTCAGGTGTATATCGGTGGGCCGTGTGCTTGGGGAATGATTACCAACACGTATCTTGGGGGCGTTTAGAGATAAAGGAAGTTTCCAAAGGAATTTTTACACGTTAGACTTATAGGATCCTGGATGGGAGGAGGGTCGGGCTAGGATTGCCTTTTGCCTTTAGCAAAGTATTAACATCGAGGCAGTTGAGACCCTAGAGGAATGTCACTCTGCCTGTTTCAAGAACTTGTGAGTGGGCTCTAGGTAGTAAGGAAATTTAATAATTTTTCTTCTGCCTTCGTTTTCCACATCATCTCCACCTTGGGTAATATGAGCCAGTGTAGGAGCTGTGACTGGAGCTGGGCTGGGCCACAGGGAGCTGTCCCTAGGTGAGGACTGGGCTCTGGAGAAGAGAGGGAAGAACTGGGGTAGCCTGCATTTCCCAAGCCTCCGTCCCCTCCCCCACTCCGAATATCCCATTCGATCTACCACCGAGGATTACAGGCCTGAGGGTAGAAGAACATCCTGAAGGTTTAACCCAGTTCTACCCTTGGGTAAATGACTTCCCTTCTGTGTGCTTTGTCTTGTAAATAGAGGAGACCAGGCCTGCCAGCCTCCTGGGGTTATGGTGAGGGTTAAATGAGTTAATCATTCGAACTGCTGCCGAACCTGGCCATTGCAAACCTCCATACCTGAGCTAGGCACCCACGTGCTGCTCAGTTTGGGACTGCTGAGCCAGTGTTTTCTCTGAATCAAAGATTGCTAGGGTGACTTGGGGAGGGGCAGGCTCTCCCAGAGAGCCCTGAGTTGGATGCCCCTTACTTGTCAGCCAGGAGGCTGCCTCTGTGCAAACCAAGAGGAACATCATTCCTGTACTTGAACCAGATCTGGCTGTAAGTTGGCATAGCACAAGAAAAATATCCTTGAGCAGTAAAACGCCACTTCCAGGGACGCCTGGGTGGCTCAGTCGTTAAGCGTCTGCCTTGGGCTCAGGTCATGATCTCAGGGTCCTGGGATCAAGCCCCGCATCAGGCTCCTTGCTCAGCGGGAAGCCTGCTTCTCCCTCTCCCACTCCCCCTGCTTGTGTTCCCTCTCTCGCTGTGTCTCTCTCAAATAAGTAAAATCTTCCAAAAAAAAAAAAAAACCCAAAAAACGCCACTTCCAAAAGTAAATTGTGTGCTAAGTAAATAAAGTTCATCCTACTTAGAGAAAAACGTCTAAAGCAGTGTCATTTATTGTTTGCAAAATAATTTTTGTTTTCTTTTTGATCATAAAAGTGATACATATTTGAGGCACCTGGGTGGCTCAGTTGGTTAAGCGGCTACCTTCTGCTCAGGTCATGATCTTGCGGTGGGCTCCCTGCTCAGTGGGGAGTCTGCTTCTCCCTCTGTTCCCCCCCGCCCCGTCGCCCCCTCATGCACTCTCAAATAAATAAATACAATCCTAAAAAAAAAGTAATACATATTTACTCAAAATTGGATGAGACACTAAGATAATCACATTGAATCCCCTTACCTCATTCTCTTCTATATAAAATGGGTATTGGGAGTTAGATTTTGTGGATTTCCTTACAGTCTTTTATGTGTTTCATAGTTGTGATTATTACACGAGGCATGTGTAGAATTTTGTGACCTATCGTAGCACTGCATCCAGCCTGAGGTATTTACAGAAAAGTTCATTACACTATTTTTTTGAGCAGTTTTAGGTTTATGGTATAGGAGAGGAAAAATCTTTTGCTTTTCACTCTTCTGTTCTGTGGCTGGTCCAATAATTGGCATAAAACAGATTCACAGGAGAAAAACATGTTAATTTCTCCTGTGGGGCGGGGAGGGGTGGCAGTGAGGAAAGATCCAAGATCTAAGGGCAGCCAGACTCCTAGGCTTCCATGCATCCAAAGCTCTGGGGCTCCTTGGTGGGGGGAGGAAGACAATTCACAGGAAGGTGAGAGGAACAAATGTTTGGTACGCAAATGTTTTCCTGCCATGCAGCTTAGGTCTCCTTATAAAAGTGATCTCTGGTAATAACTCACTTCTTGGCACAGATCCCCTTTTTAAGTTCTTTTAGGCAGTTAAGGGGGAGGAGAAAAGCTTTTCCTGAGTCTGGTGGCCTTGGTTGCCTTCAGATCAAAATAATCCTCATGCCAAAGTGGCACGTTCTGGCTCAGTCTGAGCCCTGTCAGCAGAGCGATGAGCAGCAAACGGGGTCCCTGTACCTCCTCATCACACTTAGCATGTTTCCCTCTTACCATCATCTTACATTAGTGCCATGCATTGGTTACAATGGGAGAGCCAATGCTGATCAATTAAAGTCCATAATTTGTGTTAGGATTCGCTGTTTGCATACACTGTTTTGAATGCCAGGGAAACCTGTGACCAGAAACGGCTCTCATAGGTGTGTGTGATTCAGGATCTTGCCTTTCCCGAACTGGTTTTTAAATCAAGTCTTGGCTCTGCCCTAGGGCTGGCAGCTGACATCGTGATGCTTCCCTTAATAGGGTGCTGTACTTTTTTGTTACTGCTATTTTCCTGTTGAGGATTGCATTTGGCAGTCTGCTCTCACTGAACAGTGCCCACCTCTGCACCTACCATGCTTTCTCCTACTTCCTGGACTGTTCAGATCTCCCAGTAGAGTGAGGTTGCCAAGTGGGAACGGGTTGTTGTCCTGGGTGATGGTGGAGTCAGTAGGGGATCCCACTTGTTAGAATTTGAGTTAAGCAATTGAGTTCAAAGTTGAGTGAAGTGGCAGAGCCTTTCCTAACTGCGCCTCCGGGGCTCCTGCCAATGGGGCAATGACTCAGAGGCTGCTGGTGCCTCAAACAAGAACAGAGCAAAGCTCATCCCCTCCTGGTCTATGCACTTACCCTCCGGGCTCCTTACTCGCATGGGGCTGCTTCTGCTTCGCCCTGATGGGTTTTGGCTGGCCTTGCCTATGTGAGGATAAACCACCGTTTCCATGAGTTCATTTGCGTTAGGCCTGGAATTTCTCAACGGGAATGTTTCTCTTTAAGGAAAAAGTACAAAATTATAGGAGGATAGATTATATACGCTGATTTCTTTCTCCTCACTACCTAAGCACAGAGAATCTGGACGGGAATACTGGTTCTGCTGCTCTCTCTCAGGAACTGGTTTCAGCCCAGAATGCCACCGATTAAGGCTCCTCTGCATCCCCAGTGTGTCATTTTTCCCATCCATCTCTGGTGAGGAAGAGCCAGAGTGAGGACAGGCAGCTGTTAATGGGCCATCTGTAAGTGAATAAAGGAATACCATTTACATGGAAGCTCTTCAACATGGGTTTCCTCGTATTATTACCCCAAAGGCTCAGCTGATGATTCTCTCAGCGCTGATAATTCCTTCCTCGTGGCTGTCCGGGATGCTCTTTCTAAATAAAACTTCACAGGTGCAGTGTGCAGGGATGAGGACTCTGGTTGCCCATCTCGGGAGGGCATGAGGTTATGAATGGTCTGTTGTGGTGGGACCAGTCAAGCTCACCTGGGAGGTGGGGCTATCTTGTTGCCTGCTCTGCCTTCATTTCCCTCCCCCCAGACCTACTCCTGGCTTTCTCAATTCTTACTACTCTATCCTGTCATTTGGGAGGCTGGAACAAAAACGAAGAGGCTCTACATTTGAATGGTCTTGGATGGAATCTAGCCCAAAAGTTTCAGGGGTGGTGTTTCTCCTATCTACCCAGGGTTGAGAATCTGTCAATTACCATTTGTCAGTGAGCAAGTCTTGAATGTTTTAAAATTACGTTTATCTCTATTGCTGTTTTTGTAATTGAGACAAGTCACCATCCTTATCTTGCCTAATGGTCTTCCTCGTGAATCTTGTCTCCCTCTGATCGCTTTACTAGACCATAACTGGAGTGATTTTTTTAAGTAAGCTCTAAGCCCAACGTGGAACTCGAACTCATGACCCCAAGATCAAGAGTTGCACGCTGTATGCACTGAGCCAGCCAGGTGACCCTGGAGTGATACTTTAAAATGCACTGTGCTTTCCCCCCTACCATTTAACACCCTCTAGTGATTTTCCCAGTATTTTTTGGAGGATCCTTTATAAGGTCCTTTGCATTGTGGCCCCTAATTTTCTCTCCTTCTTTTAACAACCCTTTGAATTTTCCAAAAATCCTCCATATTTTCTCTTGCCTTTTCGCCTTTGCATATGCTAAGTTTCCTGTTGCCCATAATTTTCCTCTACTTTCTCTACCTCTTTACCTGGCAAGGACCAATCATGCTTGAGGTCTTAGATCTCAACTTTAAACTTCAGAAAGCCGCCTCCTTCCCCACTCACTAACCCCAAGCACCACTAAGTTAACATTGCTAGGTTCTCCCCTTGTACAATCTGGCTTCTCCAGCACAGCACTCACCACATGAGATTGAAATCACCTGTTTCTTGCCTCCACCACCCCATTGGGGAGTTGGTTTCTAGTGGGCTAGAATTGTAGCTGTCTTCCCTGGTATCCCTGGGGAAGAACAGAATATTTGGCACATAGAAAGTGTGTAATAATGATTGGTTAGAGACCGAATAATACATACACAGAATACAATGTAAAGGGCCATGTGTATTGGCCATTCTGGTTGATGTTAACCAGTTTGCTAAACTTAGAAACCTGTATGCTAAACTCACTTGAGCCCATCCCATGGCTCTAGGAAGTGTGTAGGATCTGTGCTAATTCAGGTAACATTGCAATTTTTGTTTCTTGTTTTCAAAAGTGCATATATTGTAAAAATGGCAAATGTAGACATAGGAAATGTGGGGAACAGAAGTCTGTTATAATTCCATCCCCCCAAAAAGTCCCATTCCCCAGAAATGACCATTCTTTTTTTTTTTTTTTTAAAGATTTTATTTATTTATTTATTTATTTATTTATTTATTTTTTTTTTTAAGATTTTATTTATTTATTTGAGAGAGAGAGAATGAGAGAGAGAGAACACCTGAGAGGGGATAGGGTCAGAGGACGAAGCAGACTCCCTGCCGAGCAGGAAGCCTGATGCGGGACTCGATCCAGGGACTCCAGGATCATGACCTGAGCCGAAGGCAGTCGCTTAACCAACTGAGCCACCCAGGCGCCCAAGATTTTATTTATTTATTTGACAGAGAGAGACACAGCGAGAGAGGGAACACAAGCAGGGGGAGAGGGAGAGGAGAAGCAGGCTCCCCGCAGAGCAGGGAGCCCGATGTGGGACTCGATCCCAGGACCCTGGGATCATGACCTGAGCCGAAGGCAGTCGCTCAACCAACTGAGCCACCCAGGCGCCCACAGAAATGACCATTCTTAACATCTTGTATATTTCTTCAAATATAAGCAAAAGTTTAGTTATCGTATGCATTATTTTGCTATTTTCTGTTCTCCAGTTACAACTCTTTAAAGTTTTCCCGTATGAATCTACCTTACTGTGAAGTATCCCATTTTATAGATGTTCCGTAATTAACCGGTCATGTGTTGATGGGCATTAAGATGGTTGGTTTGTCTCCGCTAGAAAACGGCGTTGTGATTAAGTGTTGTACCTTTGCTGGGTTGTACACTTACGTATATGCTTGATATCCAGGAGTGGAATTACCTAGGGTAGGAATGGGGGCGCCTGGGTGGCTCAGTTGTTTAAGCGACTGCCTTCGGCTCAGGTCATGATCCTGGAGTCCCTGGATCGAGTCCCGCATTGGGCTCCCTGCTCGGCGGGGAGTCTGCTTCTCCCTCTGACCCTCTCCCCTCTCATGTGCTCTCTCTCATTCTCTCTGTCTCAAATAAATAAATAAAATTTTTAAAAAAAAAAAATCTTTGGGGGAAAAAAAAGGTAAAGCAAGTCATCTCCTTAAAAACCATTAAAGACTTCCCATTGCACTTACAGTAAGATTCAGTAAGATTATTAGCTCCACGAACGCCTCGTTTATTTTTGCCCCAGTGCCTGGCATTATTCCTGTCATATAGTAGGTGCTCAGAAAATAGTGAGTGAATCATAATTTGAATAGGTTATGGAATACTCTTCTAGGGTTTGGCTATGCAGTCAGTTTGACCCATAAGAAAATGTCATTGGGAATCAAAGGTTTACTGGTATTTAAGGTTTTTTTTTTTTTTTTAAAGATTTTATTTATTTATTTGAGACAGAGAGAAAGAGAGAGAGAGCACATGAGAGGGGGGAGGGTCAGAGGGAGAAGCGGGCTCCCTGCTGAGCAGGGAGCCCGATGCGGGACTTGATCCAGGGATCATGACCTGAGCCGAAGGCAGTCGCTCAACCAACTGAGCCACCCAGGCGCCCCGGTATTTAAGGTATTTTAAGCTTTTTTAGAGTCATTGTGTTCAGTCATGGAATTTCTCTCTGTACGTGGCACAGACCCTTACTCTCCAAAAACCTATCATCTGGATGATGTTTTCTGGGGCTCTGGGATTGGTGTTAGGGATATGCCATAATTACAGTTTGGATGTGATCAGAAAGTCATCTGTTGGTTTGTATTTAGCTCTCTTAGAGCATGTTTGTCTAATACTGTGTTGCAGATACAAGTTTACACTTTGAATCAGATGCTAAGATTCCATTCTCTTCTTAGGTTCCTGCTCCGAAGCGAGGAGAAATAGTGAGACAGATTGGGGATGCTTTGCGGGAGAAGATCCAAATACTAGGAAGTTTGGTAAAGTATTTTCATAGTGAATAGACATTCCTTTGAGTTGCAGAATAAGGCTGCTATGCATTTGTGTTTAAGATTATAAGAACAGTTCATACATTTAAAAAATGTCTTTAAAGATGAACAAGATGAACTGGGAAGAGTAAAGACAATTTATGGATTTTTAAATTAAGATAATAGCAGACTTTCTGTAGTTTATACCTTCACAAAATAGACAAGAAATACAGTTTGCTTCCTTCTGCACCAGCCCCCCCAACCCCTGCCTCATAAATTTAGTATTTAAAACATGAATTGTGTTGCAAAATTGCTTCTTGGCTTTTTGGTTTTTTAGGTGTCTTTGGAGATGGGGAAAATCTTAGTGGAAGGTGTGGGAGAAGTTCAAGAGTACGTGGATGTCTGTGATTATGCTGTTGGCTTATCGAGGATGATTGGAGGACCCATCTTCCCTTCTGAAAGTAAGCAGTGAAGTCAGTTAAGCTAAGACTTCTGTCCTCTTCGGCCATACTCCAAAAAAATGCCCTGGCTGTGAATGATTTTCAGAGGAGGAATTGCATGTAGCATGTAAATATATGAAAATGTCTTTAATATCTGTACTAACAAATAGGTGAAAATAGCAGATCAAGATACCTGTTAAATTTTTCTGTTTTTAAAGGTAAGACTCCATTTTGGGAAGTCCGTGGGTGAGATAGCCACTCTTTTATGGGGACTTTTGGTAACATGAATCACCGGTCCATCAGGAAAACAATTTGAAAATAAATCCGAAGGACCCAAAATGTTTAATACCAGTTTCAAGACTAATTTGAGTAAATACTCTGAAATATGACAAAGGTTTATATATAAAGGTGTTCATTATAGTATCAATAGGAAAAATTTGAAATGACCTAAATGCCTTATCATATGACAAATGTTAAGCTAATTTTGGTAGTCTAGTAATACATTTTAAAAGTCATACTTAATGGAGATTGCCCTCCCCTAACCCCACACTTTGTTTCTTTTTCTTTTTTTAAGATTTTATGTATTTATTTGACAGAGCACAAGCAGGGGGGAGCGGCAGAGGGAGAGGCAGAGGGAGAAGCAGGATCTCCACTGAGCAGGGAGCTAACATGGGGCTTGATCCCAGAGAAAGCACCTGGGATCATGATCTGAGCTGAAGGCAGATGTTTAACCAACTGAGTTACCCAGGTGCCCCTAACCCCACACTTTATGAGAAAGTTTTTTTTTTTTTTTAAGATTTTATTTATTTTGACAGAGAGAGACACAGCGAGAAAGGGAACACAAGCAGGGGGAGCGGGAGAGGGAGAAGCAGGCTTCCCGCTGAGCAGGGAGCCCGACATGGGACCCTGGGATCATGACCCGAGCCGCAGGCAGGCACTTAACTGACTGAGCCACCCAGGCACCCCGAGAAAGTTGTATTTACTTAAATTATTTTAATTTTTTTTAAGAGGTGATAAATTCATATCACAAAATTGGAAAGGAATAAAAAGGTAAAGGATGAAAAAATTTTCTTCCTACCTCCCTGGATACTCCCTACTAGTCCCATGGAAATAGTGAATGTTTCTGGTTTCTTCTTTATCTTTTTAGAGGTTTTGCAGGCAAACACATGTCCTTTAGGAACACCAACATTAGCAAGCTATATGGTCTGTTCTGTACTAATTTTTTACTTAGTGTGTCTTAGAGATTGTTGCTTATTATTCCAGTAAGGGACTTCATCTTTTTTTATGCCTTTCTATTGGTTGTGAGGACGCTAATTTTTTAAGCCAGTTCCCAAAGGATGGATATATGTAGGGCATTTCCAATTTTTTGCTGTACTCTATGTTGCAGGGACTGACCTTGTACTCAGAGGAGGTTTCAACAGTGAGGATAAGGGTTTTTGTGATCTGTAATGTTGGCGATGTTAATGGAGCAAAACAGGCGACTGCATTTCTGCAGAGAAAGTACCAAGGCGGGGCGCCTGGGTGGCTCAGTCGGTTAAGCGTCTGCCTTCAGCTCGGGTCATGATCCCGAGGTCCTGGGATCAAGCCCCGCATTGGGCTCACTCTCATCAGGGAGCCTGCTTCTCCCTCTCCCTCTGCCATTCTCCCCCTGCCACTTGTGCTCTCTGGCTCTCTATCTCTTGGTCAAATAAATAAATAAAATCTTAAAAAAAAAAAAAAGAAAGTATCAAGGGGTGCAAGTCAGCCAGAGCAGTGACTGGTTATCTGTGTGTAGCAGAATTATTGATGGTTGTTACTGTCTGTTTTTCTCTATTTTCAAAAATTTCCGTGATGGAAATTATATTACATTTATAATCAGGAAAAGTAATATATTTTTTTAAAGAGCACATTTTCCTGTTTTTTCTTGGCATATTTGGCAAATTCCTAATGGTGGAAAGAATTGCAATTTTTTTTTTTTACTGTCCTTAATTAGGTATATAACAATGATTCCTATTATCCAAGATGAATTTTATGTTACTGATCATTTTTTCTTTTTTTTTTTAAGATCTTATTTATTTGAGAGAGAGTGAGAAAGAGAGCATAAGTGGGGAGGAGGGACAAAAGGAGAGGGAGAACAAGACTCCCTGCTGAGCAGGGAGCCCCATGTGGTGTTGAATCCCAGGACCCTGGGGGTCATGACCTAAGCCGAAGGCAGATACCCAACCGACTGAGCCACCTGGGTGCCCCGTTACTAATCATTTTCAATACGCTTTTCTAGTTAAAAAAGTAAATTGGCAGTTTGGAGAAGTACACATGAGCAAACAAGGAACTTCTTTGACTTATACCTACTGAGATGTCTGCCTCACCAATTAAAATCTTTTTCAGTTGTTGGGACATTTTTTAGAAGAGTAGGTTATTCATCTATCTATGCAGAGGCTTTGCGGGTAACTTTGATTTCATTAATGTAGTAAATGCTTACTGAGTGTGTACCAAGTGCCAGGTGAACTGATAGTGATACTTGATCAGTAAGGCATTGTCCTTGTCCTGAAGGAATTAATTAATTGATTGACTGAGAGAGGAAGCAAGTGTGCATATTAGTGGGGCATGGGTAGGGGGGAGAGGGAGAGAGAGGATCTTAAGCAGACTTCACGCCCAGTGCAGAGCCTTACATGGGGCTTGATCTCACCACCCTGAGATTATGACCTGAGCCGAAATCAAGAGTCAGAGGCTTAATCACGGAGCCACCCAGGTGCCCTGTCCTGAAGGAATTTGTACGCTTCAAGGTACCTTATGTTTTAGAGTGCGAGGCAAGTGGGAGACAAGTAATGGGATAATTGTAACAGAGCATGGTAGGTACTGTGATGGGGTACAGGGGAGGGTGGTGACCCTGAGCCAGCCTTGTGAGGCAGGCAGGAAACGCCCCTAGGAGACAGTAATGCAAGGTCAGGCCTCAAGGAGGAGATGGGTGGGGTGCTTGGGCAGGGGTAGCTCTGACACTGGGAAGAAGTCTGTGATTTAAGATGGGAGGACGTGGCTTATTTGGGCAACTGCCTTGCTTTAGCACAGCTTGAGGGCACTGTGTGAGGGGAGAGACTGGGTGGTGATGGAGCCCCGGGAAGGAACCTGTCCTGCTGAGGGACTTGGACTTTGTCCTGAGGACAGCTACAATAGCCATCCAGACACCACAGGCTTGTAAGCAGGGGACGGAGGGCATCAGGGCTGTGCTGGCCTCCGTGGGGAGGAGGATGACGGGAGGGGACAGGAAGAGGCTGTGTCAGCACATGATCTCTAGGGGGATTGAGCTCAGCTAAAGGGGGGCCTGGGAGGGAGGGCAGCTACTACTGGGTTCTGTGTTCCCACAGCGAGAGTGTGGCCAGAGAGATGGACGGCTGGGAGCCCCACCTTCCCCGTCAGTCTGTGGTTTTAACTCTGTGAGCTGTCACCTTACTGTTCCAGTTCACTGCTCCGGCTGCCTTTGATTAAAATATGCCCCTTGTGGGATGGTGGGTGATGTTACATTTAAAATTTGTATATAAGATACATATTTTTCTAATAGATTTTTTTTTTAAGATTTTATTTATTTGACAGAGAGAGACACAGCGAGAGAGGGAATACAAGCAGGGGGAGTGGGAGAGGGAGAGGCAGGCTTCCCACTGAGCAGGGAGCCCGATGCAGGGCTCGATCCCAGGACCCTAGGATCATGACCTGAGCCAAAGGCAGACGCTTAACGACTGAGCCACCCAGGCGCCCCATAAGATACATATTTTTCTTTGTATTTCTCGTTTTCTTATATGAACGTAAAGACTTGTGCACTTCATTTAACGTACATGTAATTCTTAGAGCTGTTCTTTTTTCTTACAAATGAGCCACCTTGTCTCTCTTTGGAGAGGTTGGCCAAGGGCTTTACAGGCAATGTAAAGAACAGGAGTCACAGGTCCTGGGTCGTGCCCTTGGCATGCACATCATCCAGGGCACCTCTCATCGCCTCTTTGAAGTTTTGTTGTCTCCCAGATGGTGCTGATGCTGCCCTGCTCCACACAGAGCTCCTGTGAGGATCAGAGGCATAAAGGTATCCGTACAGTGTATAACCTAGCATAGTAGTAACAGCTTTATTGTATGCTAATTAATGTACCTGTGTAAAGTGATCCATTGCAAGGCCTCTGGAATCCCCACTGGGTCTGGTGCACTTTCTTTCTCTGAATGATTTCAGACTCTGTTGTTATTATTACCATCAAATGCATTAAGATGATGTGCTTAAGCATGTTCTGCCCCATCCCGTGTCCTCAGGACCTGGCCACGCGCTCATTGAACAGTGGAATCCTTTGGGCCTGGTTGGCATCATCACTGCGTTCAACTTCCCGGTGGCAGTATATGGCTGGAACAATGCCATCGCAATGATCTGTGGGAACGTCTGCCTTTGGTAAGACCTCACCTTCTTACGCAGTGGTAAAATGATAAAAGTAGCCATTTTCAGGTACTGCTCAAAGGATTTTAAATGTATTGAAATGTTTTCTAATAGCCGACTCTTCGATGAACATGTAAGTCACACCTGCTAGTTGTACAGTGCTGAGTTTTTATTATTATGTATTTTGCCATTGGTAGAATTAATTTTTTTGCCTTATTTTTTTTTTTTTGGCAAAGGCTTGTGCCCACTCTTGTTTCCAGCTCTTTCCACCCCAAGTGAGTATACTGTAAGAGTTAGTGTCAGGATCTATAGGTTTCAGGGCTCACCACAAGGCTGTTTCCACTTCAGGTTAAAGCCACAAGTGTCCCCAGGTCACCTGCAGTTCTGGCCAGCCTTGTATAAATTAGGAGGTCCCCACGAATCCTCAATTTCAATAATTCACTAGAATGACCCACGGAACTCAAGACAATGCTATGTTTAATGATTACAGTTTTATTTTAAAAGTCTCATACTCTACCAACTGAGCTAACCAGGCACTTGATTATAGTCTGATTTTAAAGGATACACATAGGGTAAGGTGTAGAAGGGTCCCAGATGCAGAGCTTCTATGCCTTCTCCCAGTTTAGCTGGGGCATGTCACCCTACCTACCAAAGAAGCTGCACTGATCTTGGTGTCTACAGGTTTTCTTGGGATTTCCTTAAAAAGGCACAGTTGATTAAATCGTTGGACATGTGATTGGACTCTCTCAGCCCTCCTCCCTTCCCCATAGGTGGAGTCAGGGAGGGCTGAAGTTCCAACCCTCTACAACCCTCTAATCACATCACTGGATTTTATGGTGACCAGACCCCCACCCCCACCCCCATCTGGCAGCTGGCTAACAACCACCCCCCATCAAGTCACCTCGTTAGCATAACAAAGACACTCCGGGAAATTCCGAGGGGTTCTGATGCTATTTCAGAAACTGGGAACAAAGACCCAGATGTATTCTTTATACCCCACTCTAGGAACAAAACTAAGTTAAAAAGTTGGTGAAAAGAGTCACAACCTTCTTTGTGAAATTTGACTCCCCCCCCCCCCCATAAAAATTTCATAGTGAATCTCGAAGTGATTGTGCAGCCCTTGGCCAGTGTTCCCATTGATAATTAACTTTTACATCTTTATAAAATATGTGATAGTAGAAGTTAGTTGGGAAATGTCTATTTCGTAGATGGCAAAACACTTCCCTGTTTTTAGCTTCCATGGTGAGATCAGGAAAGCCAGGAGAGTTGTCTTGGCTTGTTTGGCGTCTATCCCACTTATTGCCTTAACTGTAATGTTGTGTTCAGTTGAATATATTCACAGACTGTCTACAAAAGCCAGGCATCGTTGGGAGATTAATGATTTGGCACCATGTTGCCAAAGAGACCCACGCTTTCCGGTATTTGAATGCATAAAGACTAGTCGTATGGCTTTTCTCAGCCCTGTGAGCCTTCTTCTGGGGAACTTCTGAAGTTCATGTTGATAGATTAACATTTCCATAATTGACAAAGGTTAATGTAACAGTTCCTGTGACAAAGGTTAATGTAACAGTTCCTGTGTTCAGTGCAGCAAGCAGGTTCAAAATTGTCATTTTCATGTTTTTCGAAATTTTATAGTCCCTTGGGTCCCAGAGACACAAAGCTGAAGAAGGACAGATTCTGATTTCAGTTACTAGGCTCCGTGGTCTAATTGGACAGAACTTGTCACAAAGACTTTTGGTTCTGCTTGACCGTAAAAGGTACTTATGATTTCCACCAAATTAAGTTGCCTTTTTTTTTTTTTTTAACCCTGTCAAGGAAAGGAGCTCCAACAACTTCGCTCATTAGTGTAGCCGTCACAAAGTAAGTATGTGTGGCTTTCTTTTTCCTGAGTGTTGAGTAATCTCAAAGAGTGATTAGTAGGCCCTGATTTTTAATTCAGTGTGGAAGGGTCACATTTACTTAAGCATGGAACTTGGGTAGCCTCTTTCTCCTTTGATTGTAATAACATTTTGATAATCATTTTACAGCATACGGAGCTCTTTCAGAGCCGTATCATTGAACTCTTTGGAAACATGCCAGATATTGATTAACATGTTGAAATTGAGCTCTTATAAACCTTTATGTCACTTGGGAAATAAAAACAAATCCAGTGGAAAGGAAGTCGTGCAATTTAGGAGCTGTATTTAGTAAATGCTGAACGTGTTCATGGTTTTGACTTCTACCCAGCTACTGCGTTTATTGCTTTTGTTTAATAAGTGGTTAGCAAAACAGAAAGAAATGATAATACTGTTCTACTGATTCTAACAATGTCTAAAATGTACTTCATTCTTGGATTATAAAATATTTTTAGTTCATTTTTGAGAACTTGACAATTCTGATTAGGTCATAAAATCAGTGTTACTCATCTGTCATTGTGGAATTTAGAGTCTGTATAGAAGAGGATACCTTCCCATGTAGAGTGATGATTGTTGACAGTCCTTGATGTCCCATCGGTTGCATGGTCTGCCTTCTCTGATAGAAGGATTGCTCATAGGAAGCATGTGGAGTCTCTATGGAAGAGAGTCCTTAATGTTAGAAGTTCATTTAGGGGCAGTGGCTTAGGAATTGAAACGTGGGCTGAAAAAGAGAGTAGTGTGTGTTAGTGTTTACTTGAAAGGAATATGTGATATTGAGGAAACTTTATCCTCCAAGGCAAGATGATTAAATTGAATAATTAAATAATTATTGACTTATAATTAAAATTTATTATAGTTATACTTAAATTATAATTAAGTATTACAGACAACTGTAATCTGCAAAACACATGATACAGGACACAGCTATAAAAATGATGAGGTTCCTAGGCAGTTGTTTTATTTTTGGGGTTTTTTGTTACAGGGTTTTTGTTTGTTTGTTTGTTTTTGTTTTTTCCTGGGTGCAGAAAGGTAAGGTTTTATTAAAGCACGGGGGCAGGACCTGTGGGCAGAAAGGGCTGCCTCCCAGGCAGTTTAAAAAACAAAAAACTCAAAACAGTTACTCTCGATATAGTGAACAGACTTGCCAGTTGTTATTAAGCAGCTGGTTTAAAATACCTATTTTGATAACAGTTCCAAATGTTCTAGGTGATTGCTGCTTTGAGCTTTTTTTTTTTTTTAAGATTTTATTTATTTATTTGTGAGAAAGAGAATGAGAGAGAGCACATGAGAAGGGGGAGGGCCAGAGGGAGAAGCAGACTCCCTGCCGAGCAGGGAGCCCGATGCGGGATTCGATCCAGGGACTCTGGGATCATGGCCTGAGCCGAAGGCAGTCGCTTAACCAACTGAGCCACCCAGGCGCCTGCTTTGAGCTTATTTTTGTGTTTGTGCTAGTCTGAGGGGGGCGCCTGGGTGGCTCGGTCATTAAGCGTCTGCCTTCGGCTCAGGTCATGATCCCAGCGTCCTGGGATCGAGTCCCACATCTGGCTCCCTGCTCTGCGGGGAGCCTGCTTCTCCCTCTCCCACTCCCCCTGCTTGTGTTCCCTCTCTCGCTGTGTCTCTGTCTAATAAATAAATAAAATCTTTAAAAAAAAAATAAAAATAAAAAATAAACAGTCTGAGGATTTGAAATGTTCATATGGGAACATGGCCACTCTTTAGATAATTTTTTTTTTTTTAAGATTTTATTTATTTGACAGACAGCTGACCCACAGGACCCAAAATGTCTTGGGACAATTCCGTAGGCAGAGCTTTTAGCTACCCACAAGGGACATGAAGTTACAAGAGTCCCTGTGCTCAGCGATGACCAAAAAGCCTGAGGTTCCCATTTCCAGTTCTCACATTGTCATCCCAGTCCAGGTGGAGTTGACCTGTTCAGGGGTCATGTCTAGCGTAAGTCATGCTGTGTCCCTGGAGCCTTGTTGATATTCCAACATTTACCAGGCAACCAGGGCAGCAGAACCAGAGAGTTAACCCTCGTCAGAGAGGCTCATGCAGTATGGGAGATGGTTTGGTGAACGCCTAGGTGCAAAGCAGAATCCCCACCCTTGAAGAATAGTTTGTCTCCTTGTGCAGACAGTAGATACACTCTAAGTCCCTGGAAGAAATTGTACAACCTGACATCTGATCTCAAACACGACTACTGCATGTGTGATCCTTGATGGACAGGAAAAAAGAGTATTGCTATCAGGGACATTTTGGGGGACAATTGGAGAATATATGTATAACAGATCTTTTTTATGGAAGTGGGTATAGGGTTTAGATTTTTTTGTGCAATTTAAATTAGAAAGTTGCTGGAAGGTTAGGGTGATGGATGAAAAGAGCCTTGGCTCTCTCTGGGCCCGAATGCCTCAGGACGCTCAAAATGAATGAAAGAACCCAACGTCAGAGAAACCAGGATCACTGGAGCCCTTTTTTACAGCTCATTGTCAGATTTAAGTGGCATTGAACTGTGTTTAACTCAAATAACGTTAAGTTGTAGGATAATGTTTAAGAAAAAGCTCTGCTGGCCCACAGTGCTCTAGCCTGGAGGCTGCTGATATTTCTGGACTCAAGGATTTGGTGCGAGGCCAGTGGGCACTAGTCTTGAACTTGCTTAGGTGCTGCCGGCAAGTCCAGTCCCCTCTGCTCTATCTCCTCAGTGGCTCCTCTAAGTTTGGGGCCTGTTCCCTGTTTCATCCTCAACCACTTCCCTGGCTGTGGTATCTCTTTGCAGCGATCTGTTGAACCTTCTCATTTGCTGATGGGGACCACCTTTCCTTTTCTTCGTTTTTCTAGGTTATGGTCCTTATTCCTTTTTATGTCTTTCCCTCATTTTAATGGACTTGGGGCAAGAGACCAAAAAAATGCCCTATGATCAGTCTGCCATCTTGAATCCAGCCATGTGTTCAGAGTTGGGCAGAAAATCTTTGCAAACAATGAACACTTGAGCTACCTGATCAGTGCATTGTGTCTTTTACTTTTTTGCATGTATTTTTCTTTTTTCTTTTAAGAGAGAAGTGGTGGGGGGCAGGGAGGGACAGAGAGGGGAGAGAGAATCTTAAGCAGGCCCCACACCCAGTGTGGAGCCTGATGCAGGGCTGGATCTCCCGACCCTGAGATCATTACCTGAGCTGAAATCAGGAGTTGGACGCTTTACCGACTGAGTCACCCAGGTGCCCCATGTATTTTTCTTCTTAAGATTTTAGGGAAAATAAGTTGTACTTTTAAGGTGTTGGAAAATCTTGCGTCTAATATGTCAGGTGACATCCAGGCCTGCGTGTTTGGGGCGGGAGGTAAGGGATGGGGGAGAGAGTCGCAACAGGAAAGTCAGGTGGTGGGAAATTATTCCTAGTTTAAAAAAACCCTTAGAAATGAAATTGTTCCCTTTCTTAGAAATTGTTTTTCCCTTTCTAGGATAATAGCCAAGGTCCTGGAGGACAACCAGCTGCCTGGTGCGATCTGTTCCCTGACCTGTGGTGGAGTGGACATCGGGTAGGTCAGTGGGCCCAGAGCAGCTTTCTGTTGAAGGACTCCGGGTCGATTGGTTAGGATCATCTTTATTAGAGTAATGAAATCCAGGACAGCTGAGGAGGGGAGAGGGGTTTTTTTGGTCGTTATTATCACATACCTCATTGGGCTTTGCTTTATTGGAGGATGAGTAAGAATTATCTTTTTAATTGCCCAGAGCTAGTTTTGTGAGGTGTTTATAGCCTAAAATAAGAAACCCCTGTAACTTTGGGAAGTCTGTGGCTTCCTGCCACTTAGTTCGTAGAGTTGCTTACTTAGAAAACGAAACTGTGGAATTGGAGTCTGGTGTCTCACTCCTTCAGCTGAGAACCTGTCCTGTTGTCTAGGTCCCTCAGCTGAACAAAAAAGGGACCTCTTCGGGGATATGGCATCTTTTAAAATATGTATTGTTTTTAGAAAATGGCTATATAATTCACATACCATAAAATTCTCTCTTTAAAAAGGGACAATTGAGCGGTTTTTAGAATATTCACAGTGTTGGGGCACCTGGGTGGCTCAGTTGGTTAAGCGACTGCCTTCAGCTCAGGTCATGATCCTAGGGTCTGGGATCGAGCTCCGCATCAGGCTCTCTGCTCAGCTGGAAGCCTGCTTCTCCCTCTCCCACTCCCCCTACTTGTGTTCCCTCTCACGCTGTCTCTCTCTCTCTGTGTCAATTAAATAAATAAAAAAATCTTAAAAAAAAAAAAAAGAATATTCACAGTGTTGTGCAACCGTCACCGTTATTGTCTTCGAGAACATTTTCATTATACCAAAAAGGAACCTCCTCCCCATTAGCGCTCACTTGGCATCCCCTCCCTTCGCCCTAGCAACCACTCATCTACTTTCTGTCTCTATAGATGTGCCTTTTGGAGGACATGTCATGTAAATGGAATCCTACAACAGGTGGGCTTTGTGTCTGGTTTCTTTAACTTAGCATGGTATCTGAGCCTCTTCTTATGCCGGGACCTATAATTGCCCTGATCCATGATGAAAGTTGAAGTTACTACTACTGGCCTAGACTTCAATTAGGTGTGCTCTCATTGGAGTCAGGCCTGGTTTGGTTGACACGTTGGTCTCCCTCCTTCACTTACCATGCTTCTCCACTTACTGGTCAGTCTCAAAAAGGAATAATACATTGGTCCTTTTGATAGAAATGAGAAGATATTAGGAAATACAACTTCTACATGTAGAGTACCTAGTGAAATATCATCTACATGTCATTTACAACATTGTAACAAAAGACCTAGTCTTTTGTGCTCTTTGAGCATCCAGTCCTTCACATGGGTCTTGGACCAGCTCAGATGGAGGAGTGTTTGCAGGCGTGCCTTAAGTAACAGCCTCTCTGAGTATCAGCACTCATGTTTGCTGGGCTGAACCTGGGGACATCTGCATGCATTATCCCATCAAGCTGTCCCAGCCCTACGGTTAGTCTCATGCTGTGGCTGATCTGCTTGGCCCATACCAAGCCCTTTGAAGCCCAGAACCCAGAGCCAAGAGATTCGGATCTATAGTGTCTGGTCTATATTTCTTAGAGGTAACTGGAAATCCTAGCACAGTCTTTATTTAAAGTGAGCTTCCATGAGAGATACTTAGGATGTTTCCCTATAGTGTTCAGACTTTTAATTCTTTTTTTTTTCTTAAGATTTTATTTATTTATTTGACACAGAAAGAGCACAAGCAGGGGAGTGGCAGGCAGAGGGAGAGGGAGAAGCAGGCTCCCCACTGAGCAGGGAGCCCGATGCGGGACTCGATCCCAGGACCCTGGGATCATGACCTGAGCCGAAGGCAGCTGCCCAACGACTGAGCCACCCAGGCGCCCTTCAGACTTTTAATTCTTAAAGGAATTAATAGTTTAGGAGTCTGCAACATAATTCGGGTGCTCACCAAGGAAATACTAAGGTTATGATGTATAGGAAAGACTTTCATCCTTTATTTTTTTAAATATTTGAGAAAGAGCGAGCATTCAAGAGTGAGTGGGAGAAGGGACAGAAGGAGGGAGAATCCTGAAGCAGACACCCCACTGAGTGTGGAGCCCGATGTAGGGCTAGATCCCAGGACCCTGAGATCATGACCTGAGACGAAACCAAGAGTCGGCAGCTTAACGAACTGAGCCACCCAGGTGCCCCAGGACTTTCCTCCTTAACAGTGTCCTCAAGGTGATTTCTGTTTACACAGAGCTCCCAAACCAGGTTAGCCTGTTGGACTGTATGGTTCTGCTTGTGAAAATCTAGTTCATTTTCATGAAGACCTTCCCTCGCACTCTTGGGATAGACTTACTGTATTGTGATGAGGAATCGTGTCAGAGTGCTCTGGCCTGGTGCCAGTAGGTGGCGCCATTGCTGGGCTTCTCTGCCTGGGTGACCTTGTTTATTCCCCTGCAGCACAGCAATGGCCAAAGATGAGCGGGTGAACCTGCTGTCCTTCACCGGGAGCACCCAGGTGGGAAAACAGGTGGCCCTTATGGTGCAGGAGAGGTTTGGTAAGTGTTGGCTTTCTCATGAGCATTGCTATTCCCTCCTCTATGGATATGAAATCTCAAAGTTGGGTTTTTCTCCTTTCGGTGGGGACACCAGCCATGTTTATTTGAATGTCCAAGTAAAAGAGAAAAGGGATACAGTTATGAATGGGGAGACTGCAAACTTAAGAGCATAATTTGGAAAAGCATGTCATTTTCCCCCTAAATGACCAAAGCGAAATCCTATCAAGATAATACATTTCTTGATTTCTATCGGAAGTGTTTGGCAAATTAAAAACAGAAAAGTCACACTTTATTTTTTTTATTTTTTATTTTATTTTATTTTTTATTTTATTTTATTTTTTTTAAAGATTTTATTTATTTATTTGACAGTGAGAGACATAGTGAGAGAGGGAACACAAGCAGGGGGAGTAGGAGAGGGAGAAGCAGGCTTCCCCGCGGAGCAGGGAGCCCGATGTGGGGCTCGATCCCAGAACCCTGGGATCACGACCCGAGCCGAAGGCAGACGCTTAACGACTGAGCCACCCAGGCGCCCCAAAAGTCACACTTTAAATAGGTGCAGGGATTGACAGGACCTAGAGTGAATATGGAATGGAAGACTTAAGTCTGTTCTTCTCCTTTCACATTTTACGTATATATGACTGACAAGGGTTGTAGGCACAGAATTTTGCGTGCTCCACTTTACGGCTTCTTAAAGAAGTTTTCAGAGATAATATTGACTGTCGGTTTTTGGCGATTTTGCTGAATTTTGACTAACCCTAGCCTAAAATGAGACTTGACTACTAAATCTGCCAGGTGTTTTGCTATAAAGGTGTTGCTTTTATTTGTTTATTTTCTCCATCCCGAAGGCATTGCCATTTATTTTTATATATATATATATATATATATATATATATATATATATATGCTGGGCTGAACCTGGGGACATCTGCATGCATTATCCCATCAAGCTGTCCCAGCCCTACGGTTAGTCTCATGCTGTGGCTGATCTGCTTGGCCCATACCAAGCCCTTTGAAGCCCAGAACCCAGAGCCAAGAGATTCGGATCTATAGTGTCTGGTCTATATTTCTTAGAGGTAACTGGAAATCCTAGCACAGTCTTTATTTAAAGTGAGCTTCCATGAGAGATACTTAGGATGTTTCCCTATAGTGTTCACACTTTTAATTCTTTTTTTTTCTTAAGATTTTATTTATATATATATATATAAGTAGGCTCCATGCCCAGCATGGAGCCCAGTGCAGGGCTTGAACTCAAGACCCTAAGATGAAGAGTCAGATGCTTAACCAACTGAGCCACCCAGGCACTCCAGGTGTTGCTTTTAAACAGGAAGTTTACAAACCATTAGAGCCATTAAGTAAGGTCAGGTTGCAGGATTCAAGATCACTATACAAAAATCACTTGTATTCCTATATCTTAGCAATGAATAACCTGGAAGTGAAATTCTGAAGACAGTTGCGTTTACAGTAGTGTCAGAAAGAATAAAATACCTTTTTTTAAGAAAGATTTTATTATTTATTTGGGAGAAAGAGCACAAGCAGAGGGCAGGAGCAGGGGGAGAAGCAGATTCCCTGTTGAGCGGGGAGCCTGATGCGGGCTGAGTTTACAGCCCAAGCCGAAGGCAGACGCTCAGCTGACTGAACACCCAGGTACCCGTAAAAGAATAAAATACCTAATCATCAATTAAACAGGGGCACCTGGCTGACTCAGTAGGTAGAGCATGCAACTCTTTCATCTCTGAGTTGTGAGGTGGAGCCCCACATTGGTGTGGAGGTTACTTAAAAATAAAATCTTAAAAAAAAAAATTAACAAAAGGAGGTGAAGTCTTTCACACAGAATACTACAAAGTATCGTTGAAGGAAATTAAAGATCTAAGTAGATGTAAAGACATCCCATTTTCACTTTCTGGAAAACTTAGTATTGTTACAGCCTAAGAGCAATACTGCCCAAGTAATCTACAGATTGGTTGCAGTCCCTTTCAAAATGTCACCTGGCTTCTGTGCAGAAATCAACAGGCTGATCCTGAAATTTAGATGAACTGTGGAGGACTCAAAGCAGCTGAAACAGTCTTGAAAAAGAACAAATTTTGAGGACCCATACTTCCTGATAACACAACTTGGTACAAAAATACAGTAATCAAGATGATGTATTGGCATAAGGATAGACGTCAAGATAAGTGGAATAACAGTGAGAGTCCAGAAATAAACCCTTCCAGTTATGGTCATTTGATTTTTGATAAGGGTGCCAAGACATTTCAACGGAGAAAGAGTAGTCTTTTCAACAAAGGGTGCTGGGACAACTAGATATCCATATACATAGGTATGAAATGAGACCCCTACTTCATCTTACACACAAAAAATAATATTCCGAAGACCTGAACGTAGGGGCCAGAACTGTCAAACTTATAGAAAAAAAATAGAGGAATAGTCAAGGCAGTGGTTTCTTGGATATGATACCTAAAGCACAAGCAACAAAAGATTAAGTAGACATCATCAAAAATAAAACTTCGGTGCTTCCAAAGAAACTTAACAAAAAGGTGGAAAGAGAAACCTACAGAATGGGAGAAGATATTTGCAAATCCTTTTTTGATGAGAGATTCGTATCTAGAATAAGTGAAGAACTCTTAAAACTCAACAATATAAAGCACAACCCAATTAAAAAATGGGCAAAGCTTTTGAATAGATAACTTGTTCGAAGATCCACACCTGGCCCAAGAAGCTTGTCCCGGCGTGCTCAAGATCATTAATCCTTCTGCTTCCATGAGCAGATTCATCTCTTCTCCTTTCCCCTTCTTCTTACTCAAAGCTATAGTTGGTTATTCTCTCTTAAGTAGTAGTTCAGTAGAAGGATTACAGTCTTTAGAAACACGTATCCGTCTGCCGTCAGTTATAGGTTCTTTCCTTGGAGAGGGTTGGTGGTTATGAGTCTAATTAGGGAACACGCAGAGAAGTAGGAGGATACGGAATGTATAGGTCCCTTCTCTGCGGTGTGTCCGTTGAAGCCGGGCCGCAGGATCCCACGTTAGGTGCAGATTCCGCTGTTGCCTTCCTTTTCTTAGGTAGCATCGTCCTCCTCTGTAGCCAGCCAAGCTATCATTAAATCCTCTGTTGTAGTAAAGACTACGGCTGATAAGTAGCAGTGACTTCTGGTCATGACAGCCCCATCTCCTTATAATGTCCCCTGGGTGCTTAACTGTTCCAGAGCATTGGAGAGAGAACATATTCTCCTGCTGCCCCATGTGCTCCTGATATCAAATAAGTAGTGTTTACTTACGTAGAAGCGGATTTTAAAGGGCATTTAAGGAAAGATATTCAAAAGATCAGCAGTAAACACAGCCCTAAAGTCGAGGCACATCTCTGTTCTTTATTGCTGAGGTGTCTAAGGTAAGAATGGTGTTTGTAGACGTTCGTAGGCTGCTGTGTAACTTTCCTGGAATGTAAGTTGGCATGTTTATCAGGAGCTCTAATAGACCTACCCTTTGGCCCTGACTGAACTAGATAATCAAGAGGTTGATGATCAGTAATCAATATTATCCAACACGGGAGCAGGAGCTAAGTAAAATTTGTTCCATAGTATGCAGTGATATTTTTAAACAGCTCTTAACAACTTAGGGAGAAGGTGTAAGAGCAAATTAGTTCCTATGATGTCAAGAAAATATAAATGAACAGGAGAGAGATTTGAAGGCGCTGTATCAGATGATGAGGAGACATTTCATGGTAACTCAGGAGCCATAGCTTTCTGCCTATTTGATACTTTCTGATTTAAATTTTTTAAAAAATTCTTAACTTTTTTTTTTTTTTAAAGATTTTATTTATTTATTTGAGACAGAGAGAATGAGAGAGAGAGAGCACATGAGAGGGGGGAGGGTCAGAGGGAGAAGCAGGCTCCTCGCCGAGCAGGGAGCCCGATGCGGGACTCGATCCCGGGACTCCAGGATCATGACCTGAGCCGAAGGCAGTCGCTTAACCAACTGAGCCACCCAGGCGCCCCTTAACTTTTTTTATTGTGGTAAAAGAAACGTGTGTGTGTATATATATTTATATATATAGTATATAACAAAATTTATCATTTAAACTATTTTAAGTGTATACTTCTGTGTCATTAAGTACATTTTCATTGCTGGGCAACCCACCATCCCTCTCCAGAACTTTTTTGTTTTCCCAATTTTATCCTGATTAAAAACGAACTCCCCAGTTCTGCCATCCTCCAGCCCTTGGCAACCATCATTCTGCTTTCTTTCTCCATGGATTTGACCAGTCTGAGAACCTCCTATGAGTAGCGTCACCACCTGGTATTTGTCCTTCTGTGGCTGGCTGGCTTTACATAGCATGTCTTAAAGGTGGTGGCATGTGTCATAATCTTCCTTTTTAGAGCTGGATAATATTTTTGTTTATTTGCTCATTTTCTGATGGACCCTTGGGTTGTTTCCACCTTTTAGCTATTGGTTAAGGACCCAGAAGTAGATTGCTAGGTCATATGGTAATTCTCTGTTTAATATCTTGGCAAATTACACAATTTCCCAGACTTACAGTTTCAGGGGGTATAATTTCACAATGAGAGAAAAGTTACAAGACTAACTAACACAAGGAATTCCTGTATACCTTAAATGAAATTCACCCAATGGCTTCTGTGTTGCCCCATTTATCATTTTCTCTCTCCAACATGCACGCACGCACATAAACTGTCGGTGCTTATTGGTTTATTTTTAACCTTTGAAGAAATGCTGGAAACATTGTGTTTCTTTACCACTAAATATTTTAGTGTATATCTTAGGAGTACGGACATTGTGCCATATAAGCTTGGTACAGTATGAAAATCAAGAAGTTTGACATGGATGCAATGCTCATGCTACATTTGGAATCTGAAAATAAATTAAGAACGTAATTGAAATAGGCTGTGATTTCAGGCTGTCTTGCAGTGTGTGTTAAATACTGAAATGGGCTTTAATGTGTGTTTGTGTTTTTAAAGGGAGAAGTTTGTTAGAACTTGGAGGAAACAATGCCATTATTGGTAAGGCTGCCTTTCATTTATTTTCTCTTCAGAATAGCTTTGGTAGCCATGGTGAACATAAAGAACTCACATAGAAACTCATCCTTCCTCTGTTGTGTCCTTCTAAGACATAACTTTGGCTTTCAGGATTTACTTGTGAGACAGGACACAAAGGTTTGAGGGCAGAGATAACTAGGAGGGACAGGTATTCATGTTGGAAAACGCTACTTGGGGCTTAGAGCTTGTGCCCGAGACTTTCTGGTGCGGCATGGTTTCTTTCTTTTCCTTCTCCTGCTTTCTGAAAACTGCCCACATGTTTCTCTAAGAATAAGTAATTCTTACACAACTTCCTGATTCCTTTATATTTTAAAAAATTAGCTTGTCTGTAATGAAATATTGAGTGCTTTTATACTGGGAAGGAGTCCTTCCTTAAAGCATTGCATCGTTTACCTGTAGGCTTGGAGTTGACTTGATTGTCTTTTTCGGTTGTTGGGCACAGAAGGAAAGAGGCTACCAGCCTATTCTGGATAATGGACATCAGTAGGGTGATTGCTTGATAGAAGCATGGATTTTGTGATAAAAAGCAAAATTTGGTAATTTGCATATTGCCGTCATCATCGTCATGTGTAAATGCCTATAGATTTGTGGTGTGCACCAGAAATTTAAAAAGACTGTGGTGATGGCTTTATTCTGGTTGAACCCATCTGGTTAAAGAGCGTTCATTCAAAAATATAGTTAGCATTTAGCGAGCGCTGGGTTTCACAGATACTGTGTTCAGCTCTTTCATCTGAGTTATTTCCTTTAATCCCCACAGTAATCCCATGAGGTACCTACCATTATTAATCTCCTTTGACATCTGTACTGGGGTAAAGACCTTAGAGCTCATTATTCTGCTCTTATGTAATCCTCCCTGGAAGAAAAGTTGCCCCCGTGATGTGAGCATGCTTCTAGCACAAGGGAAATGCTGATAGTCTATTACTGAGCTTTCGAGGACATCACTTAGTACCAGTTAGCAAGTCTACTTGGTGACACTGATGGGTATCTGCTTTGTCTCTCTAAGCCTTTGAGGATGCGGACCTCAGCTTAGTTGTTCCATCGGCTCTCTTCGCAGCAGTGGGGACAGCTGGGCAGAGGTGTACCACCGTGAGGCGCCTGGTGAGTGTGTCTGCGAGGGCACATGACGTCAGATGACGTTGTCTTCAAACCCCACTTAGGATCACATTGTACTGTTAGGAAGTACTGCTAGAAAAATGTATTCTGCAGACGTGGTTGGCACATCTGTGGTCCTGTTACTCTCTTCCTTGCTCAAGGCAGATGGTGCTGATCAACCAGGGACTCTGCCTCCCCCTCCACCCCAAACTAAAAGTGGACTCACGCTCATTGATTGGAGTTCGACTGGGGAATGAGACCTGTTTTCAGTCTTAAACCTAGAACAATATGGACAAAGTCCAATGTCACTTAGAGAATAAAATCAGCTAAAAGTTTGGAGAATTTGCAAATCATTTGCTGAAAGATAGCCTTGGTTTTTTCATAAAAACACTTTAAGTAGTAAAATATTATTAAGATTTTAATTTTGGGCCTGTAAGTCTGGTATTAGATCTAGACTTGATATGGCATGGTTTATTGAAAAGCAGACGACTTTGTTTGTTGTCTCTGGATGAATATGTAGTCTGCACACAAATGTATAGAACACATCAGTATTAAGAGCATACAGGGAGGATGTGGTTTAGCATCCGTGTGTGGGGTTTGGAAGGTTTAATCTCCATACTTAGATTTGAGCTAAATTTCAGTTTTGTGTGGGATACAACCCTGATGTTCATGACTTTCTGTTTTTATTCTCACCCATAGTGAGAATGAACCAATTCTTTATAAGGTTGACATAATGTAAATTAGAATAAAAGATACCTGGAAAGTAAATCTCCTTTTTCTGTAACTTTTCATATTCATTTTTCATGTATTTTACAACAATTGATTATCTGTATTTCCTTCGTTGTTCCATAGTTGAAACTCTCAAAAAAAATCTGAGATAGATGTTCATAGAACATTTACAATGTATTGAATTTGTTTGCTTTAAACATTTACTACGCTAACGCTAAGACAGAAATCGGTACTCCAAAAGATAAGCATGGTAAAATTTGAAATGAGATGGAAGTCAAGCATTTGTCTATTCGGCTGAGTTTTACTTTCCTTTGTGTGTTGGGGCAAGTGTACATAATCAGGCTTTATATTTAGTGTTAAATGTTAGAGGATGTTATTAGTCACTGCCCAGATTGGTTTCCATAGGGACAGTTAATGGTATGTAGAAAAATCCATTCCAGTACTGTGGACCTCTCCATGACTGTCAATCCATTTGTTACATGGAGACCAACCCAGAGAATGGATGGCTTGACAAGTTCATCTCTGTCGGTGGGAGCAGAGCATGGAACTTAACATCTTACCTCGAGTGAGTCCAAGGGCAGTCCTCCTGGTTGAGGCCTCCCTCCTGAGCCCTACTTGGCCTGAGGCTAAGGGCGTGTTACACAGCATCAGTAGGCCGACTATTCTGCTATGATGTCGAGTCACCACAGGGACAGGTAAACCTGAGGTTCTCTGGTAATTAAGATGTCAAACACTCTAGAACCAAAACAGGCTTAATTGATGTGTGAAGCTTGGCCAGATGGGTCCTTAGAAACTTGATGAAGACATCGCCTAAAATTTTTTTCTAACATCCACCAAGTGGAAATTATTTTGCCTTAATGTAGTTAATATTAGAATTAGAAATTATCTAATACTTTATTTGCTTATGTTTTCAGAGGTCATAGTGTTTAAAAACCATTATGAGTTGTAAATCAGTACAATTATGGAAAGTTTCACATTGTTAACAAATTTGTACGTTTGACTATTCTCCTGAATGTTTCTTTTTTCACTTAGTTTTTACACGAAAGCATCCATGATGAAGTTGTAAATAGACTTAAAAAGGCCTATGCGCAGATCCGTGTGGGGAACCCATGGGACTGTGAGTATCTGGTTTATTTCAAAGATGTTCGTTTTTAACAACTGGTCTTACCAGTGTTTCTGATCTCATACTTGCTGTTTTTCCTTTCCTGAGAGGCCTGAGGACTTAAGAAGCAGGGTTATTGGGCACTTGGGGTGTCACGTCCGCTCTTAGCTTAGGATCCTCAGTGCTTGATGTCAGCTGGTGGGTGAGCTTAGGATGTGGTGTTCTGATGGGATGACTCGGATGAGCTTTTCTCTCTTCACTTTTAAAACTCCCGTGCAAGCCATGAGCATCCTCGTGGAAGGCTGCAGGAGTCACCTAGCTGACTTGCCTGCTTCCACTTCTGCCTTCCAGAGAAGCCAGAGTGATTTTTTTTTTTTTAATGTAATTAGATGACAAATCACATTCCTGCTTCCTACATTCCAGTGACTGCTAACTGCTCCAGCTAAAACCTGGATTCCTTCCCAGTCCCTCTGGATCCGGCTCACAGTCTCTCATGATGGGACCTCTGCCTCCCCCTCTTACCCACCCTGACTCCTGTGTACCATTTGCTCCTTTGCTCCCTGAGCTCCAGCTTCTCCATCCTTCTCGCGGAGCTCCCGAGTGTCCCAAGCTCCATCCTGCTGCCCTTTCCATTGGAAATGCTCTTCACCCCGCTTTTCCCATGCCTAGTGCTCTTAAGGTGCCACCTCCTCACTGAGGCGTACCTGAATCCCCTTCTTCCTCTGTCCCCTGGTCCCCTTTAAGGCTCTGCATTCCAACAGCATCCGTCTCTTCCCATTGAATTCCACAGCAGCTTCTGAGCCTGTGAAGTTTTTAGAGAATGATCTCATGGTCATGAATAAATGGAGCTTACGTTTTTGTTTTTTTTTAAAGATTTTATTTATTTGACAGAGAGAGGGAGGGAACACAAGCAGGGGGAGTGGGAGAGGGAGAAGCAGGCTTCCCACTGAGCAGGGAGCCCGATGCGGGGCTTGATCCCAGGACCCTGGGATCATGACCTGAGCCGAAGGCAGACGCTTCACTGACTGAGCCACCCAGGCCCCCCGAATCTTAAATTTTAATGCAGTGCTCTGATTCTTGGGTAGCCATTCCTTTAACCCAGGGGTTGACAGATTTGGCCTGCCCCCTGTTCATGTAGAGAAACTTTGTCAGGACACAGCCCCACCCCCTGGTTTCCGTGTCTTCTGTGGCTACTTTTGCCCCCCTCGCAGAGATGAGTGGTTGTGGTAGAGACCCTATGTCCTGCAGAGGATTCAGTATTTCCTGTCCTTTTACTGGGAAAGGTTGCGGACTCCTGCCCTACACTGGAGGGCTGTATGAAGAGATGGGGCTGTTCATTGGGAGAGCTCGTCTAACAATAAAATGATGCCATTCAGGGTGAGATTAAGAGCATTCCTTTTTCTGTGCAGCTAATGTTCTCTATGGGCCACTCCACACCAAACAGGCAGTGAACATGTTTCTGGAAGCAGTGGGGGAAGCAAAGAAAGAAGGTGGCACCGTGGTCTATGGTGGCAAGGTAATGACACCTGAGCTTAGTAGTGACACATTTTTGCTTCCTTAGGCACAAGCAGGGCTCTGGGCAGATGGGTGAAGGGTCTCCTGCTGTCTTGTCTTTTCTCCATCCCTTTTATAAGGGGGAAATCAGTGTTTTGGTGACTGAGAACATAAAATGCATGGAACACTTCTGGAAGGACGCACAGGAAACTCAGAGCCGTGGTTGTTGAATTGAGTCCCTGGGAATTTGTATGGAAGGGGGACCTCCTTTTCCTGGGACAGTAAAGACTTTGTGTTCAGAGCAGTCAGAATCCGTATTTAGTGGTTGTTTTTAAAGGCAGGGTATCAAAAACGGGATCCTAGGTAGTTTGGCCATAATAGGCATCTTTGCTGCCAGCATTTTTACCAAAAACATTATTGTTGCATAACTAATTGGTTATAAAGGCAATTTTGGCATAAAGGGTAATGAGAATAATGAGCATAACTGGTTGGCTGTTTGTTTGGTCAGTATGTTAGTCTAATCAGTGGATTGACAGTTGGGTTTCATTTCTCCATTGATGTAGTATTCCCATTTTTATACTATATAAATCTTAGCCCTCATGATGGTCTATGCAGTGGTGCAGAGTTTTGAACTCCTTTCCCACAGAACCATGGACTTTGCATTTCCCATAGAACTTTGAAGTGTCTGTCAACGGATACGTGAGAACATGCCAAGGACAAACAACGGTGTAGAAGACTTTCACAGCGCAATACAAAGCTCAGTTAGAAATATGCACCCTGGTATTTAGAAACTGATAACCTCTTTTAACAAAGGAAGAAATTTCAGCAAAAAAAAGAAAAACGAGGAGTCAAATCAATAAGCAAGAAAATGTGTAATACTATAAATGAGATTTTGAAGACAAGTAATTAAGTACAATCCACAAAATCAGTTATTTGGACAGTATTGACTAACCTACAGGTTTTTTTTTTTTTTTAAGAATTTATTTCAGAGAGAGCATGAGCGGGGTGGGGGAGGGGCAAAGGGAGAGGGAGAAGCAGACTCCCCACAGAGCAGGGAGCCCCCCACGCGGGGCTTGATCCCAGGACGCTGAGATCATAACCTGAGCCAAAGGCAGACGCTTCACTAACTGAGCCACCCAGATGCTCCACTGGGTCATTAAAACAATAGAAATTCACTTTGCTCACAGTTCTTGGGACTGAGTCTAAAGTCAGGGTGCTGGCAGGGTTGGTTTCTGGTGAGGCCTTTGTTCCTGGCACACAGACCATGCACATGGCCTCCTTCTCAGTGTCCATGCATTGAGTGTGGAGAGAATAAGTCTCTGGTATCTCTTTCTCTTTTTGTAAGGACTCTATTCTGTCAGATTTGGGCCCCACCCATGTGACCTCATTTAACTTTAATTACTTGCTTAAAGGTCTGTCTCCAATTTCAGTCACACTGGGGGGGTTAAGGCTTCCACGTAGGAATTTGGAGATGGGGTATAATACAGTCTTCAGACAGTATAGATGACCTGTTTTTACATTATATAAACTTTTTAAAAAACCACCTGTCACTTTTTTCAGTGTCACTTGCTCACGTCACATGTCACAGCTTTTGCTCCTTCACTCCTTTTTCTATTTTTCTTTGACCAACTAAGTTAGTATCAACAGGAGACAGAGAAGATTTTTGTTCATGGTGGGAAGTTACTTTGGGGAAACAATTTATCTGTATAAATGGTGTTTATTTTTTTCTCTCCTCTAAGTAGAGGGAAAGCTTGTGTCCTCTGACCCAAAGTACCAGAAAGCAAAATGCCTTCATTCTCATTACTTTATTTCTCTACTGAAGGTCATGGATCGCCCTGGCAATTACGTAGAACCGACAATTGTGACAGGTCTGGCCCACAACGCATCCATTGCACACACAGAGACGTTTGCTCCGATTCTTTACGTCTTTAAATTCAAGGTAAAAATGGATTCTGTTTCCCTTTTCTTGAGTTTGATGTTGAAACAACTGCGAAGACGAAAGAAAATGAAGGTATATGAAATTGCACTCGGTTAGCCTTTCGGGAGGTTTTAGGAAGTCACTGTGATAGTAGGAGTTTGAAGGTGAAGGCTAAACCGTGATGAGATGAACACTATATACTGTGGAACATGTCGGGCTCGCTGTCAGGGAAACCAAGGCAGGCTGAGGACCGGATTGGAATTTATGGAGACTGGCTCTCCTTCACGTGTCACCCGTTCTGAGCTGTGTAGGCCTAATGGTCAGCTTCCACACGGAAGGGACCAGATAGTCCCATAGCCTGAGTGCTGAGTATCAGCAGACAAATGAGAAGCTACATGAGCGATCTAAGACTTACAATTGTAACCTGTATCCATGGAGAGCCTGGGGGTTTTAGTAGACGGAAAGAGCTAGAGGGTCTCCTTTCCCACCGTGAGACAGGCCCAAGCCATGCCAGCAGGTATTTGGCAATCGAATCAAGGTTTGAATGTGCCATGATTAATAGTTAAACTATAATAATGAGAATCACATCTTTTTGCAATTATAGTATTGCTTTTTATTTTTAAAAGATTTTATTTATTTATTTTGACAGAGCGAGAGAGAGCACAAGTAGGCAGAGCGGCAGGCAGAGGGAGAGGGAGAAGCAGGCTTCTCACTGAGTAGGGGGCCCGATGCAGGGCTCGATCCCAGGACCCTGGGATCATGACCTGAGCCGAGGGCAGACGCTGAACGACTGAGCCACCCAGGCGCCCCAGGACTGCTTTTTAAAAACCTTGATTTAAATCGTCTTAGTATTGTTTCATGTCATGTGACTAGAGAGGATAATTTTATGTTTTGTACTGTGTGTATGTGAGTGAATTCTTGAGTAAATTATTTAGTGTATCTTGCCTAATCTGTAAATTGGGGATAATATAAAACCTGTATCATTGGATGAGGATTAAATACCTAAATGCATGCAAAGTGCTTAGGTCAGTGGGTTGCATATAGTAGGAGCTCAGTAAATATTGGCTCCTAGATGTAGCAGCTTGAATGGAAGCATGTCCTCATCTCTGTTTCTCAGAGTACAGTTAAGGGAAAACCCCGCAAAGCTGTGTATAAGAGAAACAATTAGTAAGAGATGGAGATTTTGGTTTACTTTTATGCACTGAAATTATACTGGTACATCTCATGAAATATACCATCGTGAACTTTGACCTGAACACTGCGTCCTCTAACATCTTCCATTGTCTGTCCTTTCAGAATGAAGAAGAAGTCTTTGCTTGGAATAATGAAGTGAAACAGGGACTTTCAAGTAGCATCTTTACCAAGGATTTGGGCAGAATCTTTCGCTGGCTTGGGTATAATTTGTCTATTTTGGGAATTTACATAAGCCTAATTTGTGTGGTGAATGGGCTTACAAAAAAAGAAAACAAAACCATCGTAGTTGAAAGACCATTTTTGAGCATCGAGCGTCTTAGAGGTTTTGTTTGGGTTTTTTGTTTGTTTTGTTTCTTAATTTCCTATATGTTGCTCTCAACCATGCTTCCCTTTCTACACACAGACCGAAAGGATCAGACTGTGGCATTGTGAACGTCAACATCCCCACGAGTGGGGCTGAGATTGGAGGTGCATTCGGTATGTAGAGAATCCTTTTCCATGCTGGGGGCAGTATGTTAGGTGGTCGGGGTATCATAACAGAGCACCATGGCATTGGTGGCTTGGACAACAGAAACTGACGTTCTCAAGTCCAAGGTTAAGATGTTGGCGGGGCTGGTTTCTCCTGAGGCCTCTCTTCAGTCCTTATGTGGCCTTTTCTCTGTGCCTGCCCGTACATCCCTGGTGCCTCTTCCCTTCCTAGGATACCAGTCCTATTGTTATAGGGCCGTACCTTTATGACTTCTTTTTTGGGCTTACGACTTCTACCTTAATTACCTCCTTGAAAGTCCTTTTGCCAAATACTGCAAAGTATTGGAAGTTAGGTTTTTAACATAGGGATTTGGGGAGGGGATACAATTTGGGCAGCAAGGGAAAACCAGTCGTAGCTTTTAGAAAAGTTTGACCAAGAAACCGAAATAATAGAACCTGGTAAGAATCTGTTCTAACATGCTTAAGAGGAGCTTACGTGCCACATTCAGAGTGATTGTCCAAGATCCGACTTTTTATTCTCAAACACAGCATCACACTGGAGCCGGGGCCCTTAGCTTAGGATATGTGACCCCTTGAAATGGTGGCATCTCTTTTTTGGGGAGATGGTCTATGACCCAAAGAACATTAAGAACCCCTGGCTTTAGAGATAAGCCAGATTCCGTCACACGAAGAGCTCTGGTTTTTGGTTGCAAAGGGATGTGGTAAGTGTTAAACATTAGCTTTTATTTTAGATAAAATACCAACTTGTGTTTTTACACTGGGTTCTGCTTGTATTTTCTCGTGGTTAATCGTTTTTTTTGTTTTTTTTTTAAAAGCCATTCCAACTAACAATCGTGTGTTAAGCATTACAACCAAAAATGAGGGGAAGTATAGTGAAAACAGATTACCTTGTTTACACTTACATATATGTCTATATATGTGTAGAGGAAAACACACATGCATTAATATCTCCAACAGTTTAAATCGTTCAAGGCAGTTTTTAATGTTTTAGCCCAGTGTTTGCTGCCCTTGCTATTCAGTGTGCCGACTTTGATGAAAGGCTCCTGCTTTCCTTCAGGCTCGGCCCTGGTGGCCTGCGTGCATCAGTGTCCGTCTCTCCCCCTGCAGGTCTTTATTCCGTTTGTAGCCCACACTTCTTTGTGCACCTGACTCTTCTTCCTTGGAGCTTGCGCAAGTTAAAATTTTTAAATGGGAAAGGGGGTTCTCCCACTTTTCTATTCCGGCTTCATTCCCAGCAGCAACTACTTTGAGTAAATTTACTTTTTTTTCCCCTTACTTTTTTTACTTTTTATTTATTAGTTATAAGCAATCTCTCTATCCATCGTGGGGCTGGAACTCACAGCCCTTAGATCCAGAGCGGTGTGTTCCACCAAGTGAGCCAGCCAGGTGCCCCTACTTCAGTTTTTCAAAGTAGGGTGCTTTAACTGTTTACTCTTTCTCCACTTTAGACGTTATTTGTTGACCCTCTGTTAGCATAGATGAACTTTCTTAAACCTTCCTCTTCTGTGTGTGTGGCATGATGTTATCATGTTCGGTGAGGTCAGGAGGAAACCAGAGGAACCAACCATGCTTCTCCGTGTTCTCCCCCTCAAAGTTACACAGGATGTGCTCCCTTCTTCCAGCAATGGATCGGGACGACAAATGTGACATGTCATCTACCAGGAAAACTCATGAGAGACTCAGCACCCAAGGCTTTTGTTGGGGGCTGGTCACCCAGGCCTCCTTTCCCTGGCATATACCGAAACTCCAGACTCCCTGAAGGAGAAAAGCAGGGGTTGTAACATAAACCACATTGTTCCAAAACAGCTGAGGCCCCGTGAGACACTTTTATCATTTAGGAGAAGTTTTATGTCCGTGTAGGGAACTGTTTAGCAGCCAGGTTCCCACAGGCAGCAACATTGCAAACAGACCTGCTGTGTCTTTCCTGCACAGTTTTCAATAATTTTCCCTCAGACTTTTGCAGTTGTTATTCATTTGCATTATGATTTCTGGTATCGTGGATGAAGAGCCCGGTCCAGTTTGATTTCCAATCTCTCTTTTTTTATTTTTTCCTATTTATGTCAGTGGAGGTCTTTGTACAAATTTTTCTTGGACATTGGGCCAGTGATTAGCTTTAGCGTATTGGGGCTCATAATTTTCAGGGCTGGGGTGTTTTTGCTAGTTCTGTTTTCGTAGTATTTTTGACAAATTTATTCCCTTCCACTTTTTCTCTTTTTTTAAGGTTTTATTTAGAGAGAGAATGTTGAGGGGGAGGGGCATAGGGATAGGGAGGGCGAGAATCTCAGACTCCATGCTGAGCCTGACTTGGGGCTCCATCTCACGACCCTGAGATCGTGACCTGAGCTGAAACCAACAGTCAGACACTTAATCGACTGAGCCACCGAGGTGCCCTTGCTTTTTAAAGTAATCTCTGCACGCAGTATGCAGCTTGAATTTAAAACCCTGAGATCAAGAGTTGCATGCTCTACTGACTGAGCCAGCCAGGCACCCCAATTTTTCTAATCACTGGAACTATTACTCGAATGTTATCTCTTGAAGCATTGTCTATTTTTGTTATCTTTTCCCTCCTATTTTCCATCTTTTTTTTTTATATGGGCGATTTCCTCATTTTTTAAAAAAAAATTTTAAAATTTAATTTATTTTAAAGATCTATTTACTTTAGAGAGAAGAGAGAGAGTGCCTGCGTGCTGGGTGAGGGGCAGAGGGAGAGGGAGAGAGAGAATTTCAAGGAGACTCCCCGATGAGTGCAGAGCTCAACACAGGGCTCGATCCCATGACCCTGAGATCTTGACCTGAGCCATAATCAAGAGTCAGACGCTTAATCGGCTGAGCCACCCAGGTGCCCCTAGGATTTTATTTTTAAGTAATCTCTATCCCCAGCGTGGGGCTCAAACTCACAATCCCGAGATCAGGAGTCGCACACTGCACTGACTGAGCCAGCCAGACACCTGCTCAGATTTTTCTTCTAGCTCTTCTGTTGAGTGTTTTCTCCTGTGCTGTTACTAAAAACACCACCAAGACTTGTGCTTTGATGGCACGTTGTACATAGTATCCTTTTCTTGTTTTATGGACTCATTACCTTCTTATGATATAAGGACATTCATGTTATATTTCAGAATATTATAAAAGCAGTGTATATATGTTGTTGAAAATTGTGTATAGCTAAGCTTAAATGAGAAAATTATATTTCCACTGTCCAGAAGTTTCCCATCTTAATATCTGGTCTAATGGTAAGGTTGGTTTTCTTTTGTTTCTGGCAAATTTGTTGCCTCTTTATTCCTTTTGGGTTTTTTTTTTCCCCCCTCTTAGTTCTTTTTTCCTGTTTATTTGGTCTCTGTCTTTTGTTTGTAGAGGAGATACTCTGAGCTAAATGGGAGCTCGTTGGTCAGGTAGCTCTGGTCTCCTTTCGGTGTGTTTCTCTCCGTGCTCCCAAGAAGAGGCTGCACCCGGAGAAACTGCTCACGACCTGTGAACTTCCTGTGTATTTGTCTAGGAGGAGAAAAGCACACTGGAGGTGGCCGGGAGTCTGGTAGCGATGCCTGGAAACAGTACATGAGAAGATCCACTTGGTAAGAAAAGGCTTTGGGAGAGGGTGGGTTTGAGCTTCGAGCCATTGGAATGTGCTTTTCCGTGCGGCTTCACTTCAGTTTGGTTTTGTAACGAATTGCAGCTGTCCCCTCCCAGGGCATCCATCCTGTACTGTTACTTGTCTCCCTTTCTTGTCCCACTTCAGCTAGTGCCCAGGGCTCGACTGTGAAACTGTCTCGGTGGTGGTTTCTGTCTGGAGACACCAGAGGAGCAGGACATTGGAAGGTCAACCAGTAGGAGAGAGTGGGAGAAGCTGTACTTTCAGTTTTCTCCTTGGGTGGGGCCACCACCCTTGCAGATGGTAGGAGCAATAGCAGAGGGGAGGTGTGCAGGGCCCCTGCAGGCCACAGGAGTGAGCATGGCTCGTGATGGTGCATTAGCTCGTTTACCCAGCACACCGGTGGCTAGTGAGGGAGAATTTTACTAGGGAGAATTTTACTAGGAGTTGGTTGTTCTACTTGTATGCTATTTTGGGGTTGGTTTTTTTTTTTTTTTTAATACTTTATTTATTGGGAAGGTACACGAGCCGGGGGACGAGCAGAGGGAGAAGGAGAGAGAGAATCTCGAGCAGACTCACGCTGAGCGCAGAGCCTGATGCAGGGCTGGATCTCATGACCCCGAGATCATGGCCTGAGCCGAAATCCATAGTCGGACACGTAACTGACTGAGCCACCCAGGCGCCCCACTTGTATGCTGTTTTTCCTTTCCCTTAGATGGAAATATTTTTACCCAACTGTATTAAAACAATATGTGGGTCAGGCCCATGTGATGTTATGTTATAGAAAGAACACAAGTTGAGGATCCAAGGATGCTCATCTTAAGTCTCAATTTATTGCTTCTCACTAGCCCTGTAACCTCAGGTGGATTCCCAAACTTAGCCCCTTAGAGCCTCAGTGACTTGATGTCTGTCTGGAAATTCTGAGGTGCTTTTGGCTGTGCCTTAAGTCCCAGACACATGCACGCTGTCCTGGTTCCCATTCTTTGTTGTTGTGGGGTTTTGTTTATTTTTGTTTGTTTGTTTCCTGGTTCCTGTTCTTTGAAATCAATTACGTTCCTTTTACTTTCCTTGTGCACCCGACATCTAGAGTGGATCCCCATATTCTTGTGCCCTGAAGACTATGAATAACATATTGGATACGTGTTTTTCCAGATTTCTGTGTTTCTCTCCTTTGTCTTTTCTCTTTTATAAAACTGGATCTGTACTAACCTTGTTTCGTATCCTAATTTTTTTTCTTTACCAACTTGTATCTTGGACATTTCACCTTGTTATGTGTATAGAAATGCTAGATTTTCTTAATGGTATAAAACATTCTATATTATGTATGTACTACCCTTCATTGAATTTGTTCATTTTTTTTTCCCCTCTAGTACCATCAACTACAGTAAGGACCTTCCTCTGGCTCAAGGAATCAAGTTTCAGTGAAGGTGACAGTAAATTGACGTTACTTCAGATTTATAGGCATTTCTTCTGAAGATGAAGAAAATTAAGATTTGCCCTGAATAAATGCATCATTTTGATTACAGCAGTGGCTAGTCTAACCCTCAGGCCCCAGCTAAATCAAGAGACTTATTTTTTAAAAATAAAACTAAATTGTCATGACATAGCCATATTTAGTAAAAGGATGAATTTTTTGTTACAAGTAGTTTGTGAGTTTAAGAATTTTTTTTTTTTAAGATTTTTTTTTTTTAAGATTTTTTATTTATTTATTTGAAAGAGAGAGACACAGCGAGAGAGGGAACACAAGCAGGGGGAATGGGAGAGGGAGAAGCAGTCTTCCCGCGGAGCAGGGAGCCCCATGCAGGGCTCGATCCCAGGACTCTGGGATCATGACCTGAGCCGAAGGCAGATGTTCAACGACTGAGCCACCCAGGCGCCCCGAGTTTAAGAATTTTTTATTATAATTTAGGAAAAAAGGGAGTAGATGCAATAGGAGGAAATTGGAAAAACAGAATAGAATGGAGAAGAAACTAGAAGTCTTCTGGGTAGATGCAGGAACATCTGCTGAGTGTGAATAAAGATTGCCGTAGTGAGTATTGACTCACATTAGCCTCTAGCGTGTTTGCAGGGAGTGTGTTCGTGTTCCTTGCATGTGGGTTAGCACGGCACAGCGCCCGTGTGGAATGACTTGCTCTGTATGAAATGACTAAGGGTCTTTATCACCATTATGACTTCTCTTGCTCATATTGGCTTGTGTCACCACAAAAAAGATATGCATGGTGGACATAGGTTTTGCACCTGCCAAGGACTCTGCCCATGTCTGTGGAAAGCGTGTCTGGGTTTCTTATGCAGCCTTAGACCATTTTTATAGCTATTACATTTGTGCAGTTGCCCTTGGATTTGTTCCGGGAGAATGACCACTCTGTGTGTGGCAGCATGTGGTTTTTTTGTGAAAGGAAAGTTAGTTTATTCGTGGCTGAGAATCTGCCTCCTTCTCTTGGGAAACTGAGCCTTTGGAGTGGTTCAGCCCAAAGTTGCCTGTGGAGCCCACTTTGGCTCTTGAAGGTCTTCTGTCTTCCTGGCAGTCTATCCTGCCCGGCTGGGTTAGACCTGGGCAGAAGCCTTCCAAGAAGATGACATTTGTAGATAACCTAATGCATCAGGGTGTATGGAGAGATTTGGATGACTGGCAAAGAGTGGGTTGAGTTATGACAGAGAAGTAAGCAAATGAAAAAACGAAGCAATTAAAAATTTATCAGGGTGGGAAAGGTATTCATAATATGTCCCATGGCGTAGCTGGGACTAGGGCTTACCAAGGCATGCTGTTGTCAACCTTGAATATTAATTAAGTGAAATGCTGGTCATAGATACCTGTTGAGAGCATATGGGCAGGAAGAAGTTGGGGTTACATCAAAGAGGTGGACAGTTCCTGTTCTCTAGTGGAAAATCAGCAATGCCTAAAATTACAGACGTAAGAAAGACTTAAGAAAGGTTGATGGAGGGCGCCTGGGTGGCTCAGTTGGTTGAGCGACTGCCTTCGGCTCAGGTCATGATCCTGGAGTCCCTGGATCGAGTCCCGCATCGGGCTCCCTGCTCGGCAGGGAGTCTGCTTCTCCCTCTGGCCCTCCCCCCTCTCATGTGCTCTCTTTCATTCTCTCTCTCTCAAATAAATAAATAAAATCTTAAAAAAAAAAAAAAGAAAGGTTGATGGAGATAGGGAGGTAAATTCTGAAAGAAGTGTTGTCTAGGGGGATAAATGGGAGGTCAGGTGTGGAGATGGGAGGGGATGGCTGTTTCTCAGAACATGTCTTAGAGAACTGTTTGAGTCTTTAAGTCAAGAGAATGTATAACTTTGATAAAAATTAAAACCCACAAAAAAGAAAATGATGTTGGAGAATGAGGTGCTTGGAATCATGCATTTCCAGCACACACACACACATGCACACACACACTTGTATGCTCCGTATTGACTAGTTCACCTTGAAACATCTCATGAAATGATCCTGCTGAAAGCCAAATTTTCTCCATTTTTTAAAGTTCATCATAGACTGGATTATGCTATATTGAGATTATCTGTACTTTTTAAAATAAGTAGTTGCTTAAGAAAATCATGCAATTTGGGCATTAACTTTAAAAATCTTGCTATGGCTTTGTTTTGCCTTTTTTATTTTAGGTCACAATGTTTAAGTGTTTTAGCCCTGTCTTAGGGACTGTATTACTATCTGAAGAAAGTAAAGCACCATTTAAAACACTTTTAGGAATCACATGCTGACAGGCCATTGTTATTTTGTGAAATTGTGCAAGGTGATTTTTGATTGAAATATTTTCTTATGTCCTGGGTTTTCCCAGGATGATATTTTTAAACAAATGTTCTAAGATATAAACTGTATCAGTGTTTGTTTTACCTTAAAATTTTTTACATTTATAATTTCTCTCTTTTAGGTTTTTAAGGAGGCTCTCCATCCTCCTGTGTATCTGTTAAAGCCATGATATGGTGGCCAATTTTCTAGCATGCTGGGGTGACTGGCAGATCTAGTCTTACGTATAGAAATCAAGTAAAACTGATTCTGAACGCTTTTTTGGAAACTAATTCTTCATAATTTTTCTACACATGTTTCTAACAATTATGAGCACATATTTTTGTTATAATGCTTATTAAAAAATTTTGTGCTTGGGGCGCCTGGGTGGCTCAGTTGGTTGAGCGACTGCCTTCGGCTCAGGTCATGATCCTGGAGTCCCGGGATCGAGTCCCGCATCGGGCTCCCTGCTCGGCGGGGAGCCTGCTTCTCCCTCTGACCCTCTCTCCTCTCATGTGCTTGCTCTCTCTCAAATAAATAAATAAAATCTTAAAAAAAAAAAAATTTGTGCTTAAATTGTCCCTCTTTGTCCTTTTTTAGTGACTCAACAAATAAATGTCACTTGTTAGTGTTTTTAACCAAGGGAGTTGAGGTACACCTTTGTGTGTGTTGTTAGGGTTGTGTATTTTAAGGTGCTAGGGGCCCTGTACCGCTTCGTGTGATTACTGTTTCCGTTGAGCCCCTCCTGCCTGCTTGCATCTGGTGCTGTCACAATACTGCCATCTCCTGGCCCCCATTGTGGACAAGAGGGCTTGCGGTCAGCGTGCCAGTTTCCACCACTGCTGTGAACCCTAAGTGTCTTGGCATCTTGCTGTACTTCTCCAGTCTCTGGAGACAGCATCCCACCGTCTGACCCTGGGATCCTGACTCTTGTAGTTCCATAGGCAGGCATTGGAAGACTTGATTGTCCTGACCTCCGTTTTGGGAGGCAGGCACTCATGAGGAAGAGCTCACAGAATGGAGTTGAGGCAGTTTTCTCAAAGGAAATAGGGATGCGGTTACTTTTTTCACTCCTCTCTTCCCTGCTGTGCAACCAGAGATCATTCTCGTGGCATTCTCTGTCCCTAGGAATGCTGAGGGGACAGAGGAGGCCATGTCCTTGCTCTTCTGCCCTCCTAGCACTTCAGATCTGTCTCCTCTTGCCTGCAGTGTAACTTTACTTATCTGCCTGTTTGCTGTAGGCGTTTGCGCTGGTGATTGTCTGCAACTTCTGCCCTTTCTGTACTTCTCCCCTCTTGCACGTAAGTGCTCATGTTGGGTTTTGAGATGTTTGTTGGCCTTAAAGGGAAATTTAAGGGGAAGTGTGAAGACATTAGGTGCCAGGATGTTATTTTTCAGTCCCAGAAAGTTTTGATACATTCTGATGTCCTGAAGTTTTGGACTTTTCATGCAATCAAATCTATTGTTTTTTTTTTTTCTTTTAAGATTTTAAGTAGTCTACACACCCAACATGGGGCTCGCTCGACCTTCACAACCCCAAGAACAAGAGACACATGCTCTACCCACTGAGCCAGCCAGATGCCCCAAATCTATTGATCTTTTACAGTTTTTCCAATTTAAGCTTAGAAAGTTAGGTTATAAATTTTTTCCTCTGCTTTTTTTTTTTTTAAGTGTATTTTTAAATACTTGTACACAGTTCAAAATACAGTGGGCCTATAATGCTTAAAACACTGTTCCCCCTGATCTGCCCCCGCCCCTTACTGGAGTGACCACCCTCACCTTTTCTACTGTTGCTGACCACATTATTCCTAATAAGCTCCTACTGCTATTTTTCAGTAAATCAGTTTAGATATTGAATGCAGAGTTCTCAATGCTGTAGGTGAGGATTAACTTTCTTATTAGTACTTCCCCAAACATAAAGCCTCTTTCCCTCCATTCCCCTCATCTCTTTACACCACAGCATCTGGTTAAGTCTGTAGTCATGACTTAATTATGACTTGCAAAGGGCAACAAATCATGCCTGCTTTCTTGTCTTTTTCCTGGAGTTTGTAATTGCCCTTATTGCTTAATTTGCTCTACATCTATTTTTTTTCTTATTGTGGTAAACTACAACATAACCATTTTAAAGTGTGCATCTCACTGGCATTTGGTACATTGACTCACTGGTGCAGCGATCACCACTGACTAGTTCCAGAACATTTTTATCACCCCCAGAAGAAACCCCATACCCACTGAGCAGTACTCGCTTTTTCACCCTATTCCCCAGTCCTTGGCAACCACCAGTCTGCTTTCTGTCTCTGGATTTGCCTATTCTGGATATTTCATAAAAATAGACCGTTACTAATTATTTCTAAATGCCTGGATTCTGTCACATGCCTGTTAAGATTTTCCAGTTACTCAGGAAGCTGTTTTTATTTTTCCAGGGATCACCTGTCCCAGTGCTCTTTGTGTTCTGCTTCAATGAGATGGTCTGCTCGGGACTAGCATACGAGTGACCTCGGTGAATTTCCCTTTCCTTTGCTGGTCTTCTGCATTAGAGACTCTTGCTTCCTGGCTCCCATGCATTTTGTCTGATTGCTTTATACTCTAGTCTTGCTGGAGCACATCCTGCAGAAGCTTCCTGACTGGTGGTTTTGGAGGTAGTTTTTGCAGAGTCTTCTAAAGGAAAGGGCTTTGTCTCCACATTGAATGGAAAATTCGGTATAGGGTTCTGGATTAAAAATATAGAGACTATTTTTTTTTTTCCACTGGAAAGGCCTGTAAGTGTTTTGTGGGATTGGCCTATTGGTCTTTAATCCGTTTGGCCTCAAGGTGTAAGCTATGATTTGATATAAATTGATATCCCCTTCACATATTTAATACTCCACCCCCCCAGCCCAGATTTGATGAATGGATTTCCCTTTCCTCACTGAGCCTTTTATAATACGTTGCATTCTTGTGGATACCAAGATCTGTTTGTAGGTTGTATATTCTGATTCAGTGATTAGTGTATATATGTGGTTGTGTATACATACATACACGTGTATTGGACTGATTTAATTCTTGTGGCCTTTATCTATTTTTAGAGGGAGAGAGAATCTCAAGCAGGCTCCCCACCCAGTGCAGAGACCAGGTGAGGCTTGATCTCAACCCTGAGATCATGACCTGAGCTGAAATCAAGAGTCGGACGCTTAACCGACTGAGCCATCCAGGAGCCCAATTCTTGCTATGGCCCAGGTCTTTAAATTCCTGTTACTAAAGTTTTTTTGTTTTCTTTTTAGAGTCCTATTCAGATTACCTGTGTGACCTTCAGAAAACAGCTAACCTATTTGAACTTCATTTTCTTAACTGTAATCTGGGGTCTACCAGTTTGGCTGCTTTGTTGTAAGCTGCAGAAAACAATTTTGCCTTTAGCAAAAATTGGAAAGAACGGTGGTCGCACTCACTTTGCTCCTGCGGGTTCATTCTCCAACATTCTCCCGCAGTGTGTCTTTCAGGGCTGACCTCTGGACTCCTTCACCTGAGCTTTCTTTGTGTTCTGGTTTTTGATTGTGCAGAAAATCAAAGCACAGAGGTCAGAGTATCCACTTCCCCACTCCCTCCCTGCCAGCCTTTGGCAGTTACTGTCAGTGGTTTTAATCTTTGTTCTGTGACTGCAGAGCTTGTCAGGTGCCCCCTCTGCTGTGGTAACACAGGATTCTGCCAACACCATTCCCTTTTCTTGCCCTTCATTCTCCAAGTGCAAATGGCATGGTGTTGATGCTTCCTGGGTTTGTCACCTTCCTCGATTCCTTATTCCCCGGACTAGCTAGAAAGCAGGTAATAATGAACTACCTTGTTCTGCTAGAATGAATGAACTTCAACTATTTTTAGGCCTTTTATTTTCTTTACTAAAAATTAAAATCTTTAAAAAAAATTTTTTTTTTTTTAAGATTTTTATTTATTTGAGAGAGAGAGAATGAGAGACAGAGAGCACGAGAGGGAGGAGGGTCAGAGGGAGAAGCAGACTCCCTGCCGAGCAGGGAGCCCGATGCGGGACTCGATCCTGGGTCTCCGGGATCATGACCTGAGCCGAAGGCAGTCGCCCAACCAACTGAGCCACCCAGGCGCCCTAAAAATTAAAATCTTGAAGCAGCCAGTGGTTGGCCTGGTGTGGATCCTTTGCCTGTCCAGTATGTGACCTGCTCATTGTTTCGAGGAAGAGCAAGACCACTGTATTAATACTCGAATGCTGAAGTCAAGGGAACGTAATTCCCTGGATTTGGAAATAGTGATATTATCCTGGGAATGAAATGTGGGTGCTGGTCTGCTAAAACAATACATTGCATTCCTCAGGGCAGTAATAATACCTGCCACAATTTTAAAGAAGAAAAATTATAAAAGTAACTGCCTGGCACATGGTGAGGGCTCCGTAGGTACTGGCTATTGCTGTTAGAGTGTTTTCTATATTTTCCTAAAAGAAATGTAGAAGCACGTTTCAGCTTTTTGAAACGGGAAGTTTTGGGGTATTTTCATTGGAATTACATTAAATTTATAAATAAATTAGGAAAGAGCTAATTCATAGTAGTCAGATTTTTTTGATCTCATTATGTATATGTTGATTTGTTCAGGTATTTATGACTCCACAAAATTTTGTAGTGCATTTCATGTGTCTTTTAAGTTTATTCCTATATATTTTAAGATTTGAGTTATAAATGAGATTTCCCCTTCCTTATGTATAAGTTATTACGTAGACTTCACTTTCTAAGGTGGATTAGGTTTGAAAATGGAAACAGGGGGTACCTGGGTGGCTCAGTCGGTCTGCCTTCAGCTCAGGTCATAATTCCAGGGTCCTGGGATCAAGTCCCACATTGGGCTCCCTGCTCAGTGGGGAATCTTCTCCCTCTCCCTCTGTCCTTCCCCCTGCTTGTGTGCTCTCTCCCTCTCTGTGTCAAATAAATAAGTCTTTATTAAAAAAAAAAAAAGAAAATGGAAACACATATCTATCAACACTCTACATTTGCTCTTGGCTGGTTGAAGGTCAATTTTAGCCCTGTCAATTCTACAGTTGGGGAAATTTGGCCAGGATTCAGATAATATGGAGTTGTCTTTACGGTGTTGAGCTGTAGGCGGCACTGCTGCTCAGAGCAAACGTCTGAGTTTGGCAGGGAAGGGCGTTGTGTTGACTGTGGTATCCAGGAGGTCACCATGGAAAAGGTTTTCTACTCTGCAGACAGATGTGCTAAGCACCATGCCCTGCTTTTATGGAATGCTTTACATTCCAGCGCCATTGGTAACCTGCATTTCCTACTTCTGGTCTGCTAACGACACAGATCACCTGAGCTTCTGTGGGTGACTTAACTTTTGGGTAAAATCTAAGCCCCAGAATGTCAGTGAAAAAATAGTATTGGGCTGTAATTGCAGATGAGTGTCTTTTAAGTTAAGAAATGTTAGTAAGTTGGTTTATTTTCTGTCCACTACCCCTGTTCCTTGTGGAGCATATGGGTGAGGTTACTCCAGTTTGAACAACCCCAGGGGACATTTTATTTGTTTCACTCATACTTCTATGGTACTTACTATGTTCCAGGCACTTTTCAAAGCACTTA